TGTCATTAACTGAGAGCCAGGTGTCCTGAGCATTTTTTTAAAAAATTCTGTATAATTTTATTTATTATTTAATTGAATCACAGAGAGATACACAATTACAAAGTTGTTAATGGTTGGGTTTCAGTCATATAATGTTCCCAGCATCTTAATGTCTGGTACCCACGGGTGTCTCATAATGAAGTGGGTCAGTACAGAGAAAATCACTAGGCTGGATATGACAGGTGACACTAGATCGGCACTCAATGCTGATGCTCTTCCTTTATCCCCTCTCCCCGGCAAGCCAACACGGATTTCTCATAGATGTCCATTTTTTTGGAGAAAAAAAGGTCCTCAACTCACCTGGAGCTGTCATCTGCTCACCTCGGGACGGCGGGTCCTGGAAAGGGAGTCAGGGAAAAAGAAAACGCCATGAAATGACAGTCCCACGACGACAGGAGTGGGGACCCCTGTCCCCCTAATTGGCCAGCCCTCCCCGGCTCTCTTCTGAGGTGCCCCAGGTGCATTCCCCACCCGTCTCTTCGCAGGGTTTTGGAGCCAACACGCCAGTGAGCACTCCCCTCGCTGCTCCCACACACATGCTCCGTCCGCCCCGAGAAGCACCTGCTTCGGCGGCCCGCGGTGCTCGACCGGGTCCGCTTCCAGACGTGGCGTCCCGATCGCCCGAACAGCTGACGGAGCAGGACCTCCGCTCGGCCCTCTCAGGATGGACTCGTTTCTACGGTGCAGGGGTTCGAAGGCGACCTCCTGTGGGCAGGGAAATGCTGCGGACACCTGGGTCCCTCGCAGGAATTTCTCTGAACCCCCAAACCTTCCGACCAGGCCGGTGACGGGCTGACAAGGTCTGTGGCCAACGAGGGGATCCTGGGGCCGCCAAGGCGGCTCCCAGCCCGGCGCGGAAATGGGCCCGTGGGAACTCTGGCAGGCTCAGCTCTGGAAGGGGTGTGTGTGTGTGTGTGTGTGTGTGTGTGTGCAGATGTGTGTGCAGGTGTGCGTGTGTGTGGTGTGTTTGGGTGTGTGCGCGCAGGTGTGTGTCGGGGTGCGTGCGTGTCGGGGTGTGTGTGGGTGTGTGTCTGTGGGTGTGCGTGTGCGCACGCGCGTGTGTGACTGCAGCGGGTCGGGTGAGCCGGGAGTGCAGCCCCGGAGCGCAGCCGGCGGCGGAGGTCGCTCGTCCCCGTCGGCCGCCGCGCCCGGCTGCTGGGCTCCGGCCGCCCCGAGCGTCCCCGCGGCAGGCCACACCCGCGCGGCCGGGCCTCGCTGAGGGCGGCAGCGGGCGCGTCTCACCTCCCACGTGGAGCGACACCTGGAAGCGCGAGCGGCCAGACCCCCGCGCGCGCCCCCGCCGCCAGCCCCAGCTACAACATCTCGAAGACACGGGCGGGGCACGCCCGCTTCCGGCGGCGTCTCAAGCAAGCTGCTGCGGGGGCCGCGCATAGGGGCCGAGGAGGGCCGGGGCATAGCCCGCCAATAGTTGGAATCTCCAGTTTAAAATATTGTTTTTGTCTTGGGGCCACGCCTGGTGGTGCTCCGGGATTACTCCTGGTAGTGCTCGGGGTAGCATATGGGGGATTGAATCTGGGTAGGCTGTGTGCAAGGCAAGTGCCGGATCTGCTGTATTACTGCTCTGGCCCGCCACTTCGACATTTTTAATTGCTTTTTACAAAAGTGAAGCTATAAATTTAATATATATGTATATATGTATATACATACACATATATATTATATTGTCTTTTGGGGTCACACTCGGTGATGCTCAGGGGTTACTCTTGACTCTGCACCCAGGAATTACTCCTGGCGGTGCTTGGGGGACCATTTGGTGTGCCAGTGATCAAACCCAATTGGCCGCGTGCAAGGCAAACGCCCTACCCACATTGCCCACTGTACTATTGCTCTGGCCCCCACAAAATAATTTTATTGAAAGAAATTCACTTAGAGAAGTGTGAGTGTGGGAGAGAGGGAGAGAGAGGTGTTCAAGAGACTGCAGCCGGTGGGAGAGCGATATAGAACAGCAATTAGGGCAGTTGTCTTGCTGGGGTCAACCTGGGTCAACCTCTGACACCCTATAAGCTCCCCCAGCACAGCAAAGAGTGATCCCTGAGGACAGATCCTGGCATAATAAAAAAAAAAAGCGAGGGATTGAGGAATTCTCCTGAGTGGGAAAAACCAGAAAAGGAATTTTGGTAAGCTATGTCAATTTTTTCAAATTGTCTTGGCCTGTAGCTCTCTGCATATATAAAAGTTAACCAGGATATTTTGAAAGGGATCTTAATTGATCCTAATGCATCTGAAGACAAAAAAAATACATCATGAAGAGATCTCGGCAGCATATGTCCTCTTCCCATTTTAACATGTACTATATTTGCATCTCTTGGGCTTTTATTTTTGGTTGGCCACACTCTGCAATGCTCTTGGATCAGGATCACTTCCGGCAGTGTTCAGTGTGGCATGGATGAATCCAGAGCATATGCTACTTCCTCTTTTCCTTCTTATGGTTTCACCATTTCTCATTTTGAAGTTTTGCATTTTTGCGCTACAACTGGAGGTGTTTAGGGAACCCAGATGTGTGATGCCTGGGATGGAACTGAAGTTGGCCTCAAGCAAGGCAAGCACTACTTACTTGTTCTTGCCCCGAGCCAGTGCCCTGAGGTGACCTGGGGATCCCCTGGGGTGTTCAGGTGCAATCACTGTTCCTTGGCCAGCCAACGGACAGAGAAATGGGGGCCACTCGTCTGGTTGGGAATCAGTGGCCGTTTATTTAAGTCTCACAGCGTTAATTATAGAGAAATAGTGAAGGATTGGGGGGGGCAACAATTATACATAGGTGTGGTTGAATATTAGCATAAACAAGGAACAGATGCAAAGCCCTTCCTTTGGGGGAAGTTCTTCTAGGAGATCCACCCGAGGACAGAATCTCCTCTAGGGGGTCCCGCACTCTAGATTCCTGCTAGATGGCCCAAGGAATTCTATTAAAGGGCGCATTTCTTTCTCCTTTCCTTAGCTAGTAATTCATATAATCACAGTAAATTTACTTTTTTTTTTTTGCTTTTTGGGTCACACCCAGCGATGCACAGGGGTTACTCCTGGCTCTGCACTTAGAAATTACTCCTGGTGGTGCTCAGGGGACCATATGGGATGCTGGGAATCGAACCCGGGTCGGCCGCGTGCAAGGCAAACACCCAACTTGCTGTGCTATTGCTCCAGCCCCCAGTAAATTTACTTCTTAATAATATTTCTGGTGATTTTGTATGAACACAGTATTATTAACACAGTACATATTAAGTTTAAAGGGTGGCTCTTCCTGAGGATATTTCACTATATTTCCCAGACTACAGTTCTCATGCCAGGTTAGTTTTTCCTAACCCCAACAGGATCCTTACTTAATTACTTCTTTTTGAGTAATGTCAGAGTTTGTTCCATGACTGTGCTCATAACTTATTAAACTTATTATACTTCTCATGGCACTTAGCCTGTCCCTTCTTAAAGCCAGGGTAGCTTACAGCTTGCCCTTGGGTCCATCTAAGTCCCTTGGTGAGAAGCCCTTTTGTGGTGTTAGGAACTAAGGACAACTGAGGCTTAAATCAAGTAAATATAACATATGCCTAGGAGTACATATTTGGAATCAATTAGCTCCCAAGTTATAAAAGCATAGCATTCACTGTCTTCCTGTGTCTATACAAAAAGGACACTGCTCTAAAATCAACTATGCAGAGGACATAAAGCAAAGAGAAAAGCAGTATTTCACTTACATATATAAAATCCATAGCCCTTAGAAGATTTGACTTTACAATTTACAGTGTCTGGATTAGAAATATTTGTGACTAACAGATAGGGAAAGAAAAACACAAAGGAGGGGTTAAGGATAAACACTGAGGATTGGGAGTGCCCAGTGGACTTGGATGTGCCTAGGGGTCACTGTGGTGGGTGTAACTCAGTAAACCTAAGTTCCCTGCAGGGGGGTAGGAGGGTAGAAAGGACAAACCAATGGGACTTCTTAAAATGTTGAGAACTATAATCCAACACTTACTTACCGACTGTACTATTTTTCCTGCCCTCATCTTGAAATTCTTTTTTTTTGGCATTTTGGGTCATACCTGGAGATACTCAGGGGCACTACTGGTCCTACACACACTATTGCTCTGCCCCTATTGTATATTTTTATTTTTAAAATTTTTTTTATTTTTTGCTTTTTGGGTCACACCCGGCAATGCACAGGGGTTACTCCTGGCTCTGCGCTCAGGAATTACCCCTGGCGGTGCTCAGGGGATCATATGGGATGCTGGGAATCGAACTCGGGTTGGCCACATGCAAGGCAAACACCCTACCCACTGTGCTATTGCTCCAGCCCCGCTACTGTATATTTTTAAAACAGAAGGTCATTGTATCTTGAGAATATAATTAAACTTTGAGTACTAGTTTTTCATCTACAAAATTAAGAAAATATTATTTCTAACGTGCCTCCAAGTCTCCCTCTATGCCCTAGGAAAACCAGAACTCAAACTTTATTAGATAAGAAAGATAGATCTCTAAATTTTGTGTGTGTACCTTTTTTATAGTTGCTGCTACTGGAATTCCTGTATATACTAGCTCCCTGGACTGTTTCTATAAGTCAAACATAAAATTGGCTGTATTTTTTCTGAAAGCTGCAGGAAAAACAATTCATAAGATACTTATAAGTAAAGCAAGTAGCTGACCTATAACATCTATTTGTAGAAAAACAAAAACAAAAGCATTTTTTCCCAGGAACTTCACTGATTATAAGACTGGGATAAAAGGAAAATACAGACAAGTAAATTTACTGTTGATTTGTTTTCTTTATTCAATTATTTCTACTATAAAATAGCAATGTATACAAATGGGAATTTAATGCGTCACATACACACACACATATATATATATACACATATATATTTATATACAACAAGCTTAAAAAGGCAAAATGGAAGTTACAATTATTATGAATATAGTATTTATATTAAAAGACTTTTCATAGGTGATTTATTTGGCTATTTTAGCTCGAAGTCATCGATTAAGAATCTCACGATCATTTTCCGGTTCATCACAATCTAAAATAAACAATTTCACAATTAAAAAAATGAAAAATGAATTAAAAGATATAATGACTGAGATGTTCATGAGCTTAACAATGGAGAAGTAGGTACAGTATGAGATCTTTTTTTCTCTTAAACTGCAGGTATATTATCTTTTTTTTGTATTTTGGGGGTCACACCTTGTGGTGAACTTAGGGTTCACTCTTGGCAGTGATAGGGACTGCTGGGTATTGAATACAGATTAGCTGTATGTAAGGCAAGTGCCCTGCCCGCTGTACCATCACTCTAGTTCCAGATATACTAACTTTATAGAAAATCATGCCTGTAAAGATTTTGCAAAAGACTCTTTTACTGTTATGATCTTTTATAGCAACAAGCATATAACTTAGAAAGTAGAAAGATTAATTATTATGTTGCAATTAAAAAATGATTTTCATGGGGCCAGAGGGATAGCACAGCAGGTAGGGTGCTTGTCCTGCACACACTGACCAGAGGCAATCCCTGGAATCCCATATGGTCCTCCAAGCTCTGTCAGGAGTAATTCTTGTGTGCAGAGCCAGGAGTAATCCCTTAGCATTGCTGGATGTGGCCTAAAACAAACAACGTCCCCCACCCCCCAATGTCTATCTTTTATCTGATGGGTAATATTGCGAATGCCTCTCCCCTGATTTTTCTTTGCCATTTTCTGTTGAAGGCTTTTCTCCAAAGTACATTTTTACATGCGAGAAAATGAGATCTTTCCCTGCAATAGCACAACCTGTTCTGAGTGAGGAGAATGAGTCATAAGTGTTAGGGTGATAAACTACAGTCTTTTCTTAATGGAATGTGGATGGATGTTTAAAGAAAAGGTGGGAGGAAATAACGTCAATTCTCCATTTTTAACAGGCACACATTGGCCCAGATTTGTATAACTTTTGTGATAAAGATAGCAAGAAAAATAACTCTGGAAGCAAATAAATTACCAGTAACAACTCTGGATGTAATTAAAATTCCCCTATGAATTTACAAATGTAAATGTAGAACACTTGTGTATATTGATGCAGCATTTATATAGACTATGTGTGTGTGTGTGTGTGTGTGTGTGTGTGTGTGTGTGTGTATGAATTTTTTGTTTGTTTTTGGGCCATACCTGGCTATACTCAGGGGTTACTTTTATTTATTACTTTTTTTGGGTCACGCCCGGTGATGCTCAGGGGTTACTCCTGGCTTTGCACTCCGTAATCACTCCTGGTGGTGCTCGGGGGACCATATGGGAAGCTGGGAATTGACCCCGGGTTGGCCGCGTGCAAGGCAAACGCCCTACCCGCTGTGCTATTGCTCCAGCCCAGGGAGCAATAAAAAACAAAGTAACTCAGGGGTTACTTTTAGCCATGTACTCAAGGATTCCTCCTGGAGGGGCTCAGGAGACCTTATGTGGCCTGGGAATTGAACCCAAGTTGGCTGCATGCAAGACGAGTGTCTTACCTGCTGTACTATCTCTTCAGCCCATATTTAGTATATATCACATAAGAAGTTACTGTTACTGTCACTGTCACTGTCCTCCCGTTGTTCATCGATTTGTTTGAGTGGGCCCAGTAATGTCTCCATTGTGATACTTGTTACTGTGTTTGGCATATCGAATATATCACGGGTAGCTTGCCAAGCTTTGCCGTGCGAGCGAGATACGCTCGGTGGCTTGCTGGGCTCTCCGAGAGGGGTGGAGGAATTGAACTTGGATCGGCCGAGTGCAAGGCAAACGCCCTACCAGCTGTGCTATTGCTCCAGCCCCACATAACAAATATTATTCTTAAAACATGTATTTTAAGAGATATGATTTAGAGAGAATAGAAATTCAATCCATTTATACTTTAAATTGTTATCAAAACTTTAGAAAATTTAAGGAAACTGAAATAGCAGCTTACCACTTGGACAGATATATCAACAGGAGATTTAATTTCATGTGTGTGCAATTTCCATTTCGGTCGAGACTCATTTTCTTTACTTGCTTCTACAGTTGAGGGCTTTGAAGAACTCATTGTTTCAATTATCTTCTTTGCTGTGAAAAAAATATAGACACTAATTCTTGTAATAATTTTCAAACTTCAAAGATCTGAAATTATTCCTTAAGAATTTCAAACCTGGGGCCTGAGAGATAATAAAATGGGTAGGGCATTTGCCTTGCACGCGGCCGACCCCTGTTTGATCCCTGGCATCCCATACGGTCTCCCAAGTACCGCCAGGACTAATTCCTGAGTGTAGAGCCAGGGGTAACCCCTGAGCATCGCTGGGCATGACCCAAAAAGAAAAAAAAAATTCAAGCTTGAGGATGGAGTGATAGTACAGCAGATAGGGCACTTGCTTTGCATGTGACCAATCTGGGTTCAATCCCCAGCACCCCTGAGCCCCACCAGGAGTGATTCCTGAGCACAGAGCCAGGAATCAGCTCTAAGCACCACTGAGAGGTCCATAAACCAAGGGGGAGGTTTATATCAAATACTAAAACCTGTAATCTTGACAACTTTAAATACTCAGATTAAATTTCATTTCTTCAGTAAAATTTTCTTTCAGATTCCCAATCACTATAGTCCTCTTTCATCCAACACTCCTATAGCACTCTGCTTGCAACTTTCATCACTAGTTTAATGTTACCTTAGGCATATCATTACTTATATGTAGATCTTTCTTCTCCACTTCACATTAAACATTAGATTTATCATCCTATTATCCCCTGAACCTCCACAGTATCTAACATAGGGACTCTTTTATTATTATTAGTCTGTTTGAAATATAATAATCAGCCATTGACTTTATATACCAGACATCAGAAAATACTTTATACTTAACATGCAAGGTCATTTAATTAATTTTCAACAAACCTTTTGACTGGAGAATTGCTAGTGAATGTTGTAAGAAGTCTCCAAATTTCTGTAACGTTTCTTCTTTCTCCTTAGTAGTCAAGCTAATACTAACATTGTAGGCTTGAATTTGTAAAGAATAAGTTTTCTTAGATGGAAGTTGTGTGGAAACCCAATAGACAAACGTGTTTTGTTACTGTTGCTGAGGAATGTCAGAAATAAATACTTGTAAACACAGCTAAGAAGGCAAGCACGGTGGGAGGGGTGGGGGGGGCAGAACAATAGCACAGCGGGTAGGGCGTTTGCTGTGCATGCAGCCAATCCAGGTTCGATTCCCAGCATCCCATATGGTCCCCTGAGAACCGCCAGGTGTAATTCCTGAGTGCAGAGCTAGGAGTAACCCCTGTGCATCGCCAGGTGTGACCCAAAAAGAAAGAAAAAAAAAAGGTGGCAGACAAAGGGCTGAAGAGATAGTACAGCAGATAAGGCGCTTGCCTGCACTGACCTGGGTTTGACCCCCCCCCCATCCCTGTACCACATACAGTCCCCTGATCCCTTCCAGGAGTAAGGCCTAAGCACAGTTGGTGTGGCTTTAAAGCCAAACCAAACCAAATCAAAACAACATAAGAAGACGGCAGACACAGGTTATGAAGCCTAAAGCAAAGAACTTATTTTATTAAGTATGTGAAGAACAGGATGAAAGGGCCAGAGGATGGCAAAGTACTGTGCCAGGCAGAGGGCTAATACAGAAATAAACACATCGAGTTGTGGCCAAATGCTGATGTTTCTATTCCAAGATGAATGAATGAACAAGAAAGAGATGCTAAATGAATTATATTGAGTAAAACTGGTAATACTAATCAATTTTGGGGGGGGGAGGTTGTGGAGGGATGGGGAGATGGTCACACCGGACAATGCTCAGAGATTACTCCTGGCTCTGCACTCAGGAATCCATCCTGGTGGTACTCAGGGAACCATACGGGATGCTGGGGTTTGAATCCAGGTTGGCCATGTGCAAAGCAAGAGCCTTACCCGCTGTCCTATCTCTCTGGCTCCAATACTAATCAATTCTGACATCTTTATTTTTATCTTCTAGTTACAGTTGTGGAAAGAGCTAATATGGGACAAATCAAAAGACAAACCTGTTGTTCCTTTTTGGGAGAATTTCTGCACTCTGGAAAAGGGGATTTCGGATTGGTTTTGGGTGTAGCATTCTTCTTATTTTCACATTTCACCAAATTCTAAGTAAAAAGGCCCTCCCGTTGATCATCGATTTGCTCGGGTGGGCCCAGTAACGTCTCCATTGGAGACTTTGTTGTTACTGTGTCTGGCATATCGAATAGGTCACGGGGAGCTTGCCAGGCTCTGCCGTGCAGGCGAGATACTCTCGGTAGCTTGCCGGGCTCTCCGAGAGGGGCGGAGGAATGAAACTTGAATCGGCCATGGTGGCTGCGTGCAAGGCAAACGCCCTACCGCTATGCTATCACTCCAACCCTCACCAAATTCTAAAAATAATAAATTTCACCAATGGTTAATTTCTTAAAAATATTTTTTCTCTACACTTAAAAAACTGAGATCTTGACCAGGTGATCTGATCCCAGGGATCCTGGCTATGTCTACAAACCACAGAGACAGCGTTGCCCCTGCCTGAGAGATCAGAGATGTGACTAGACAGAATGGGAAGAGGCCAGAAATGCTGCTCAAGATCCCGCAACGCTGAGGACAATCTCATTTGGTGATGGTAAGGGATTGCTCCTGGCTCTACACACAAGAATTACTCAGAGGACCATATGAGATACCCGGAATTGAACCCAGGTCAGCTGTGTGCAAAGCAGGCTCTCTGCCTCCTGTGCTATTGCTCTAGCCCCATGAAAATTGTTTTTTAATTGTAATATAATTATTCTTTCTACTTTCTAAGTTATATGCTTGTTGCTATAAAAATGATATGTATTTCAGTAATTATTTTAAGCTATCTATTATTAAATTCACACAGTAGAATATTGTGGTTTTAGAATCAGTATTGAAAGAATCTTCTACAAAATTTTTACAGGTATGATTTTCAATAAAGTTAATATATCTGGTGCCAGAGCAGTAGTACAGTGGGTAGGGCACTTGCCCTGCATGCAGCAGACCTGGATTCAATACCCAGCAGCCCCTGTGGTTCCCTGAACACTGCTGGGAGTGAACCCTAGGTGTACTGCTCTGAGGGTGACCAGATGGGACGCCAGGAATTGAATACGGATCAGTCATATGCAAGGCAAATGCCGACCTGCTGTACTATCACTCTAGCCCTGTGATAATATTCTTATAGAGTATAAAATATAAATTATACCATAAATGCTACTCTGTTCTGTAAGAGCAGAATTTAGTAATTTACTTACCCATTAAATATTAAATAAATATCTCCAATATTTGGATGTATCATGGTGAATGAAGTTACTCAGAAGCAGAGGGATAAGCACAGAATAATCTCCCTCACCTATTTATATAAAGTAATGTAGTAAAGAAACAAAAATACTCAAAGACAATAGAAACTGAGAACTGGTCTTTAACAGGAAGCACACCACTGCAGAGGGGATCGGGTGGAAGAGCAGGTAGGTTCTGGGATACAGCCAAGGGAAGATGACACTCTGGTGTAGGGTGTAGCATTGGAGTGGTTTTTGCATGAAACCCTTCCAGTATCAATATTGTAAATACAGTGTCTTTAAAACAAAAAAGTTCACCTCCTCTATTTCACTACTTTTCCTCTTCTGGGCCTTGGGAATCCTAACTGTCACTGGTGAGGAGCAGCCGGGGTGTTTCACTGCCATTACGTTTGGCCGTAAGGGGGTAAACTGAATCTCTAACTCGGGTTTTGAAAATCGAGTTGTTGGATTATTTTCTGTTGACACTTCACAAGAGTCAATGACGCCAGATCCATCCTACAACAAAAACTTTATTTGCCGTGTATGAATTGACATCAACTCTCATAAGTACTGATAAAAGACAAAGAACTGAAGAGGGTCCCCACCCAGAATGACGTGCAATGGCAGAGCCAGGAGTAAGCCGTTGGTGCCACACCGGTGGTACTCAGGAATCACATCTGGTAGTGCTCAGGGGCATCTTCTGCAGTGCTGGGGATCAAACTGGAGTCAGCTGTGTGCTAGGTGAGTAGCTCACCCACGTATTATCTCTCCAACTCCCCCTGTGGCACCTTTGCCTTGATAGTGAGCACATAAACTCTTAGCGAGCACAAAAACAAACATAGCGAGCACATAAAGTCTTACCAGATTCCTTATTCCTCGAGAAGGGCAATCATGTCTTCTTTGAAGTCCCTATACAACCTCTAGATCTATGCCTGTACATACTATCTATATAGCAGCAGATCAGCAAGGTTCAATACTGAGTGCTACCAATAAATGTGCTCAAAGATACATATGAAGTATTAATTTTATCTTCAAAACTTGGGGTGAATAAAATTTTTATCTACTATCAGACAATTAGAAAATTTCTTTATTTATTTCTCAAAATGATACACAGAAATCTAAAGTCCACTGAAAATTAAGGAATCTCATTGTGAATTACTGAGATTCAGTGACAAAATTATTGTATATCATTAAAAATCAATACAATTTTGGGCCAGAGTGATAGTACAGCAGGTAAGGCCTTGCATGAAGCTGACCTGGGTTTGATCTCTGGCATTCCTTCTGGTTACTCAAGCACTGCCAGGAGTAATTCCTGAATGCAGAACCAGAAGTAACCCCTGAGCTTCGCTGAGTGTGTTCCAAAACTTCCCCTCCCTAAACCAAACCAAACCAAACCAAACCAAACCAAACCAAACCTAAACCCAAGAACAATCCCCCACCCAATCATACAATTTAATAAAATGCTTATTAAAGAAACATTTCAGGGACAGGGAGATAACAATAGTGGTTAGGGCACATGTTGACCCCAGTTTGAGCCCAGCACCACCTGCATGACCGAGCACTGTTGGGATGGTTCTGATGGTTCTTGGTAACACAGGGCCCCAGCCATTCAACCAAATGACCTTCTTGGCACAGTATCACCTGGACTGGCTCTAGAACTCCACTTGCGAGGCCCTCCCCCCATAATCACCCAAAAAAGTAAAAAAAACGATGCTTCTGCAGAGGCTGAGGAAATAAATCAAAGGGCTAGAGTGTATTCTTAGATCTGGAGGGCCCCAGACATGATGTCATGCACTGCAGTGCCTCTTGGATACTGCATCACTGAATGGACCCTCCCTTGTTCCTCCCCCAACCAAAAGAAAACTTTTTTTTTTGGCGTTTTTTTGGGTCACACCCAGCAATGCACAGGGCTTACTCCTGGTTCTGCACTCAGGATTTATTCCTGGCAGTACTCAGGGGACCATATGGGATGCTGGGAATCGAGCCCGGTCAGCCGCGTGCAAGGCAAACGCCCTACCCGCTCCAGCCCCCGCCCCCCCACAAAGAAAACTCTTATAAGAAAAAATAATCATCTCTATCTTATCTTTTATAACTTTTTTAAAAAATTTTGGACCATATCTGACAATGTTCAGGGGTTACTCCTGGCTCTGTACTCAGAAAATCACTCCCAGCAAGTTCAGGGGACCCATAATTGTCTAGGGGATTGAACCCAGGGGTCATCCACGTGCAAGACAAGTGCCCTACCAGCTATAATATCGCTCCAGCCCCCTAAAGATATTTTTGATTCCCCAAGTTTGTTTATACTTATGCAGCTGCTATTTTAGGTGATAATTTGGAAAGAATAATATCCATTTGGTAATCTATTCTCCCAAAGTAGTTTCAACACTCCTGAAAAGCTTAATTACTTTCCCAGACCCCAGAGATCATATAACTGTATATTAAACTACATAATAACACTTACAAAAACTGACAAATTACCTTGCAAATGCTATTAAGTAATTAAAGGCCAAAGGTAGAGGAAAAAAAATGGACTGTGGAGGCCTTGGCTCAGTGGAGAGCACTGCCCTGGGGGAAGCCCTGGGACCGCCATCCTTGGTGCTGCCTAAAAAGGGGGAGAGGGGGGTAAAGGACCATGACACCATATACACACCTCGACTTCATTGCTACAAACTTCAAAACTTGTTGACTGGGGGTCAGCTCTGCCAGAATCTCTGCCAGGCTCTGTGCATTCCATTTCTGAGCTCTCTGCCTAGCCCTCATAAAAATTTCTTTTGGGGGGAGTGAGGGGGTTATCACACTTGGTGATGCTCAGGAATTACCCCTGGATCGTCACCGAGGAATTGCTCCTGTCAGTGCTCAGAGGAACATACGAGATGCTGGGGATCGAAACGGGTTGGCTGCATGCAAGGAAAGCACCTTACCCATTATATTATCTCTCTGGCCCTGAGCTTCAAAATTTTAAGTGCAGGTCATGTATTCCGGAAAGACTAGATCTAGATGGGGTGTGATGGGATTCTTGGAGAAGGAACATTTGTAAAATGCGTCCCTTATTCCCTTGGCATTGTCAGGTACAGCCTTTGAAGCCCCCAATACCAAGTGTGGTCCTGGTATTGCTGGGTGGTCCTGGTAGTCTTTGGCCCCTCGAGTAGTGCTATACTCTTGGGCTACTGCGTCTTGTTGGCCAGGGCAAGGGGACAATACAGGGAAGTCACTTGTCTTGTGTATGGCCAACACAAGTTCAATCCCCGGGACCACTGTGGTTCCCAGAATACTATCAGGAGTGACCCTTAAGTGCAGATACATACATGAGTAAGCCCCGAGCACTCTTGGGTATGGCCTCCCCACACTCCCCCCAAAACAAGGTACAACAAAAAAGGCCTGGTTGGCCAATGATCACTGGGTGCGGCCCTCTGGGTACCAAAGGTGCCCCTCAAAAAAAAAAAAAAACAACAAAAGGAATTCTGTTTATCAAGGGCTCCCAGCCCCAACAATCTAGCTTCTGAATGATTTTGTATGATATACATTGTGTTTATTTTAAAATAGTTTTTTTCTTTAGTAAATAGTAAAAGTAGGATGCCACCAATATTTTAAATATCAGCAGGAATTGAAGTGAAACCACATTCCACCATCCTAAAGTATATTACGGACTATATTACAAATTACTTATTTCCCAATTAAATTTAATATTTTATATGCTTGTCGGACAAGGAGAAGGAGGACATAATGGGGTACTTGAAGGCATGTCGGAATGTTGGTTCTATCAAACATCAGGCACGCATTAATGCTGCCGAGGCCTATGCCATACAGAGACAAAATCAGGGCAAATGTTTTAATTGTGGGAAATCAGGCCACTTCCGTAAGGATTGCAGGGCACCTCCCAAACGTGCAACTGTGAGACCACCACCTGGACCTTGTCCACGATGCCGTAATGGAAACCACTGGGCCAGAGATTGTCCCTTCAATCTTGGTGTAGCTGGTGATCCTAATTCGGGAAACGTACAGTGGGGCCAGCCCCAGGCCCCGCAAAATCAGGGGACATTCCCAGCTGCAGCTCTTCTCTCCAGTGTGGAGCTTCAGAGCTCCAATCAGTAGATTCACTGCAACCAGCCACGGCAAGGAGTGCCGCTTTGGATATTCCCTGCTCTGATACAGTTAGTATTTCTCTCACCCAGAGTCCCTGCAGATTAAATTCTGGTGCAAAGGGACAAGATTTGAACCCCCAGGTAGAAAGGGAGTTTGCTCAAGCAAACGGTACAAGCAGCACATCAGGTTTTCATGGTTGTCTGGAAGACTTCCTGACAGTGCAAGGAAAGGCATCTCCGATCCCTGACTCCATTCCTCATGCAGAGCATTTAGAGGCTCACCAACAAGTGGTTGAGTTCAGGGAAGAAGCTATCCCGTGTATGGGACATGCGGAGCTGAGTTCTGCACCTAACGTGCATCAGGTTTTGAGCCAGGACAAAACTGAGAAACTTTGGGATCAAAGCGTTGTGTCTATTAGTGAATTTGCACTGGCAAACCAAGCAGAACTTTGTGTAAAAGGGCTCAGCTACCCTGAGATTCCTCAGTCAGGTCAGAGGCGGAGAAAGCCTTCTCTAGTTTCTAGTCTTGATTCCCAAGAACATCTGCCAGGAACTCAGTCTGGACAACTGACTCTCAGGTCTTTTATCAGAACCAATGGTGAAGTGCTAGTTCCAAGGAAGGTTATTCAAAGACTTAGACTGGTACAGTTTAATTTTTGGAAAAGTGAACTTCTACTTCTAGTTCATGAGATGCCGCCTCTGGGAAAACGGCTTCAAGGCCAGTGGGTACGTGGTTATTCTCCCACTCGGCCGTTGCTTATTGACCCAGGAGGCACAGAGACGCCTCATTCCTGGGTGCTCACCCACTCAGCCATTACAGATGCTGAGTCTGGTGAGGGACAAAAGGCATTGTCACTAGGATACTTCTGCTTGTGTGTGTGTTTATGGTTATGAAGCGAATTATTTCTGATATCAGAAAGAGCTTCCAATGAAGGCTACAACTTCTTGCCACATTGGATTTTTCACTCGCCCATGTGCCAGGGCCTGCTAGTAATATCTCAGAATCAGCTTATGTTGTTGGTCTCTTTCCTGGTATTGTGACTGAGTTTCTAAATACATCAAATGTTATATAGCTCAACAATTGCTTCAGCAGCAACAGTCTCTTTTACAAAAGTGCTCTGAACTTGTTTTTATTACTGATATCAGATCTCATTCTGGTCTTTCTGGACCTGTGAATCGGGCATAGTTTAAAAAAAAAAAAAAGGAGGTATGCCCCGTTCAACTCCTTGTCCTTGACATTGTTCTCTTTACAAATTTTGAATTTACCTCGGGGGGAGCCATATACAGCAGCTGAAAAGCATTTTCAGGAAGATGCACAAGCTCAGAAAACTACTAATTCTTCTATTTTGATTAAAATTGACAGAGACTGGGCAGAATGAGGGAGACACCTCATTCGAGGAAGAAGCTATATTTTTCTTTCAACAGATAACTCCACCAAGAAACTTTGGGTCTCATTGCATTTCATCAGGAGCCGAATTCATCTATTTGCTTTAACTTTCAGACCTTTGCAGTCTTACAACTCTCTAAATTCCAGCTCCAAGCTATCGACAAGCTGATTTCAAGCTGATTTCAGCTGGAATTCACAGGTAAATCAGAGAAGCCAGCATCAGAAGGCCTGCAGCAAAGGATTCCAGCTCCTTCAACATATCATGAGATCAAATTAAAAGCATTCCTTATACCCTTCTCTTACAGGTTGTGGATTGGGCAACTCCAGAACCCCATATTTTGGATTAACAATTCCTTACTTTTACCCTCTCCTTAGAATTCACAGGTGTCTCAGCTCTCAAAGGAGAAAGGAATGACTTTTAATAGGAACGCCTTTTAATTTTTCTCTAGGAGAACTGTCGGAGTTCCCCCCTGTCTCTTTCTCTATCCACAGGCATGGAGATGTACCAAACCCCAATGGTTGAAACCTGATAACTTTAAAAAAGTGTTTTTTCCAAACATAAGCTAGGTTGCACATATATGACTGCCAGTGAACCTGACCAGAGAATGACTGCATTCCCCTGCTGAAGAGCTCCTGACAGAAATTGTGATGCTCCTGTTCCAGTGCTCCCTGCCTGATCCAGTGCTCCCTGAAGTTCATCAGACTCCAATAGCTACTCCCCTGGGACTCACTGCTGTGACCACTACTGTTGCTGTTGCAGAAATAACTCTTCAAATTGTGATCCGGACTCTCCATTTCTTCAAAACGTGACTAAATGACTCTGATCACCCTTGAACAGTGCAGGACTATTGGACACTTTGCAACAAGCACTGCTCTGGGTTCAGGGGTGGACTGAAGTTTTACCACAACAAATGAGACTTTGTGTTTGTAATTGTTACTCTTTCTATTTCAAATTTTGTGTTTTTTGTAAACAGAAAAGGGGGAGATGTTGGGTAACATTGCTTTGTCCTTCAAGAAGTTTAGGTTTAATCTGGTTACACCCATCACGGTGCTCCTGAAGCACTTCCACTTCCATTGTGTTTATCTGTAAACAATCTTCCCTATGCTCTCCCACCCAGTTAATCAGCTTTCCCCTTAATCAGACTTTGTTAATTTGTAAGATCAGTTTCCCAGAAATCTATGATTTTATATGTATGAGTGAAATATTGCCTTTCTCCTCTCCTTATGCCTTATGAATAGTTTACCTTAAAGTAATATCCTTTTTGTATAGATACAGAAAGAACGTTAACATTATGCTTTGTAACTTAGGATTTGATTGGCCTTGAATATTATTCACTCCTGGGCATCTTTCTCGACTTAAGCCTCAGTTGCCCATAGTTCCTAACACCCCAAAAGCAGGGTCCCGACGAGGGACTGAATGGACCCAGGGCAAGCAGTGAGCTACCCTGGCAGCGAAATGGGCCAGGCCAAAGTGCCACGATTCTTAACTATAAGTTAAGAGTTTGATCATGGACAAATGCTGTCATGATCCAAGGTAACGACAAGACTAGGATCCTGCTAGGGGTGGGAAAGACTATCTGGCCTGAGCACCGCAGTCTGAGATCAAGATGGCCCTAGGAGAGCAATTCTATAAGTTTAAGATATTTCTTACTGTATCCATACAAAATGATTTATATTATATTATATTCTTGTACGCTTGTCGGTCAAGGAGAGGAGAGGCACGCCCATGGAATTCTGCTCTAGGGTGGGTCCTCCTGCTAAGGAAGGATCTGTCCTAGGAGCGGTCTTCCCTGAGGCTAAGATTTCTACCCCTGTTGATCTCCACCCCTATTGATTGTGACCACACCTATGTGTAATTGTTCCCCCAATTCCTCAGGAGAGAGGATTTAACTGTACTGTAGGAGGGAGACGGCAGCAGGAGAAGGAAGAAGAGAGTTCAGAGAGGGGCAGGAGAAGGAAGAAGAGAGTTCAGAGAGGGGCAGAAGGAAGAAGCAGAAGTTCAGAGAGGATCAGAAGGAAGAGGAGGATGAAGGGGGATGGGGAAGGAGAATGAAGTAGCATGGGAGCAGAGACAGGAGAGACGAGGAGAAACAGAGAGAGATGGGAGCAGAGACAGGAGAGACGAGGGGAAATAGAGAGACAAGGGGAGAAGAGGAAAGAATCAGAATAAACTACGACTAATACCAACCAGCCTGGCCCTCGTTCCTTCCCCCGCCTGACCATCGCCATCGACCTCTCCGGGGTGGTAGAAGGGTGAGACTACCGAACGCGGGTGGCGGGAGAGATAGAGCCGCCGCCGTGTGGGTGTCGTGCCCCCCAAGTTGTGTGAGTTTACACACAAAACATTGGAGAATTGAGTTATTTCTTAATCATTGAAAAACCAATCATAATTCTGAAAACGCAACATTCACAAGAAATACTCAAATAACTTTTTTTTTTTTTTTGCTTTGGGTCACAGGTAGCTTGTCAGGCTTTGCCCTGCGGGCGAGCTACTCTCGGGAGCTTGCTGGGCTCTCCAAGAGGGGCAGAGGAATTGAACTCGGGTCAGCCAAGGTTGGCTGCATGCAAGGCAAATGCCCTACCGCTGTGATATCGCTCCAGCCCCAACTTTAACTTTTTTTGAAGTGAGTTCTCTCTGGCCTACTAAAACATGTCTTCTAGCCTTTAGGAATAATTTAATAATTTTTCCTAAGTTCAATTAAAAATAAATGAATGAGAAGAACAAAAGTCTACTGACTGTTTTAGAATTTTCTATGGCGCTCTTCTTCAACTGTTCAATTTCTTTGTCTTTATGTATGTTACTGGAGGCAAGAGCTTTGAGTTGTATTTCCAATGCTGAAACCTGCTGATCACGTTCTTCTCGCCACTTCTGAAGGTTACTATCTTTCTCTGTCAGCTGTGCCGTAAGCATTTCCTAATCAGAAAGCCCAGATAAAATATTTCCTTGTAAAACAAATTACAGAATATGTCCACTATGTTCATGTGCAAATTTTATCCCTATCTGTCCAAAATTTAAAAATCAGTTTATTGCTCACCTCTTTATTTGTTGTTTGGATATGGTGACACACCTGGCAGTGATCCTAGTGGGTTTGGGGGATACAGGATAGGGGATCATACCTGGGACCGCATGCGAGTCAAGCATCCTACCCACTTTACTATTGCTTTGGCCCCTTGTTCACCTCTTTTGTTGTTGTTGTTTTTTTGGGTCATTCCCAGCAATGCTCAGGGGTTACTCCTGGCTCTCCGCTCAGAAATTACTTACGACGAGGTTCAGGGGACCATACAGAAAGCAGAGGATCCAATTAGGTCAGCCTTGTGCAAGGCAAATGCCCTCCCTCTTTATCAAACAACACTTTAACATAAAAAAAAAATCCTCGGGGTCGGAGTAATAGCACAGCACGGAGGGCTTTTTGCCTTGCTCCGCCTCCCCTTGTTCACGTAAAAAAATTACAGATTTAAATTAATGTCTGCATTTGCTCAACACCTGAAACATGAGCGATGGGGTCAGAACAATAGAACAGTAGGGACAGCATTTGCTTTTCACAAGGCTGACACGGGTTCAATCCCCAGCATCCCCTATGGTCTCCCACGCAGCTTCAGGAATAATTCCTGAGTGCAGAGCAAGGAGTAAGCCCTGTGCATCGCTGGGTGTGACACCCTCATCCCCCAAAAAAGCAAAGAGAAGAAGTGAGTGGGCAAAATTGCAGTAAAATGACAACAATAAATTGTAACAAACGTTAGAAAAGTAAAAATAAACTGGGTTAGAACAATCATGAAATAGTGAAAAATTGAGGAAAATATAAGATCTAAACATGAAATATACAAGCAATACTGAAAAAACAAAATTAAGGGGGACACAAATAAATCAAGAGAGTACATCATTGTTCATCGATTTGCTCGAGCGGGCCCAGTAACGTCTCCATTGTGAGACTTGTTGTTACTGTATTTGGCATATCGAATACATCACGGGGAGCTTGCCAGGTTCTGCGGGTGAGACACTCTCGGTAACTTGCCGGGCTCTCCGAGAGGGGCGGAGGAATCGAACTCCGGTTGGCCATGTTGACTGCGTGCAAGGCAAACGCCCTACCCGCTGTGCTATGGCTCCAGCCCCACGAGAGTACATACTGTGTGTTTAAGGACAAAGGTTTAACAGTGCGAAGATGTTAGTTTCCTTAACAGATCTTTAAAGCTGATATAATTCTTAGTGAAATTTCCAGCAGTTGTGGATGTGGCATGTGGCTCCGGGTTGAGCACGACTCTTCCACTTGTGAGGCCTGGGTTTGAGCCCCGGCCCCCCTCCCTATTTCCCTCCCCACCAGATTCAGGGCAACTTCTGTGTGTGTATAGAGAAAAGCGGATTCAAAGTAATTTATATGAGGATTCCAGTAGAGTAAAAATGACATTGAAAATGAAGAAAGCAGGAGCAAATTAGGCCATTTTATATATTTTCATTTATATGAAATCTAAAAAATGAACAAAATGGGGATGGAACAATAGTACAGTAAGTGGGGTACTTGCCTTGCAGTCAGCCAACTTGGGTTTGATCCTGACACCCCATTAGGGCCCCCCGCCCGAGCCAACCAAGAGTGAGCCCTGAGCACGGAGCCAAGAGTAACACCCAAAAGCAAGGCAAACGCTCTATCTGCTGTACTATCACCCTGACCCTAAAAAGCATATATGTATTTCTTAATTTAAAGTTATATTAGTGGAGTTCATGCCCAATTCAATCAGCATAATCAGTGGTTGAATAAATAGCAGCACGCCTACATTAAAATATATATATATGTACATATATATGTATATTTTTTCACTCCTGGGCATCCATCATAATTACTTGACTCAAGCTTCAGTTGCCGCAGTCTCTAACCCCAGAAAGCTGGATCCCAGCCAGCTTTTAACCTTAGCTCCTGGACCCCAGAGAAGTAAGTTTTGGAATGTTTGTTACTGTGTGTATCGATAACTTCAAATATCAATAAGACGTAAACTTAATTTGTTTAATGTGTACGAGCAGGGAAAGAGAAACGCAACACAGATGCATATAGCCCCTGAGCGAATCTTTCAGTATAGCCTCAGGCAGAGTGTCTCCTTGAGTTAATTCCCCCCAAAGAATTGTTTCTGTTGAAACGCTTGACCTCTGTAAATGGCAAATCACAATATGTGCAGTTCTGTACCTCAGACCCCCTCAGATGTTCTGTAAGTATGCTATTTGGTTCTGAATTAAAGATTGACTATGCACAATCAAAATAAATAAATAAATAAATAAAGTTAATATTAAAGTATTGTCTGACAATTTTCTTAGAATCAATCACCAACTTCTTTTTTCTGATTAGCAACACTGGGTTTCTGAGTAACCTTTCCATTAAAAGAGAAGGGAAAAAAATCCAAGTTAAAAAATACTTAAAAATCCCCAAGTTAAGATGGAATCACTGTTCAAAAAAATAATTAGCTGTTCAACATAAAATGAAACATTATTTCTACCAGGGTTTTGTAGAAATGGTATAGCTGACTTTAAAAAAAAGTCCTGGGCTAGGGAGATGACTCAAGAGGGTTGGAGTGTAGGATTTGAAGGCAAGAACCCAAAACCCCAAATCCCAGAACTCTAAGCACTGCCAGGTGTAGCTTAACCCCCCCCCCCCAACAAAATGTCCTAATGAACTGGCTTCTAGTAGAATCTATAACTCATTATGTAGAAACTTTTACAACAGAATCAAGGTAACATTGGAGATGAAAATAGATTTTTTAGTACTATTTCTAGACTACATTTAAAAGTTTCTCCAACTTGCAAAATGAACTGCAAAAAGTTAAAGAGCAAAAGTGAACTTGGGACAAGAAGTGAAAGATAAAAACTGGAACAGTAAAATCCTCTTAGGGATTAGTAAACTGCATTGATAAAGAGAAAGCAGATGGGGCCCGGAGATGCGGCTCAGAGCCTTTCTTGAGGGTCTGAGGCAGAACCTGGAGGTCCCTAGTGCCACCCCCATGCTGCTGAGCGTAATCCCAGCAGCACTGCAGTTTGTGATCCTTGGCACCACAACAAAGTCTGCGATCTCCAGTGTGCCATAACCAACTGCGTGTAAGCACTGCAACCAAAGTGTATGAGACACAGGGCCTTAGAGCAATCACAACAGCAACGAAGAAAAGGGGGAGAAAGCAGAGGAGACACATGCAGAGAATGTATAATTGTTACCAACCACTTGCTTTAAACAACGTTCTCTGTCTTCAACAAATTTTTTCATTTCCTTGTTTCTTAGATTCTCAGCTTCTCTTGCTTGAGTGATTAGCATCATTTTTTCTTCCAACCATTTCTCTCTATCAGCTTTATATTTCTGCTCATATTCCTGTATAGATAAATAATACAGTTAGGAGTTGGAGGGATAAAACAGTGTGTAAGGCGCTTACATAAGCCTCACTCAGGTTCGACCTCAGGGATTACATCAGGTTCCCTGAGCACAGAGCTAAGAGTAATTCCTTAGCACAGCTACGTATAGCCTTCAGCCCCCCAATAATCTATTTTTATAATGCTTATAAATGCTCTGCACTTATGCAACCTGGAATAAGCTCTGAACACCATCAGGTGAGCCTCTACCACTGGTCCCCCATTGCCCAAAGTACCTAAAATTCAAGTAAAACTTGATTTAACAAAAAACACTATGTCTTGGAGCCGGAGCAATAGTACAGTGGGTAGGGCATCTGTCTTGCATGCAGCTGACCTGGGTTCAATCCCTGGTGGTTCAATCCTCATCATCCTATATGGTCCCCTGAGCAACTCCAGGAGTAATTCCTGTGTGCAAAGCCAGGAGTAACCTCTGAGCACTGTCAGGTATGACCCAAAAAGAAAACAAACAAAAACCACTATGTCTTAAAAAGACAACCAAAGCAACCCAATCGATCTACATAACTCTTACATAAGGTGGTGTTGGTAGTTGAGGAGGTCATTCCTGGCAGTGTCTGGGAGGCCAGGGAGGTTCAGGGATTAAACTCAGGGCATTCTTGGTCCTTTTCCCACTTTTTGTTGTTTTATTTTTTATTTATTTAGTTTTTGGGTCACACCCGGCGATGCTCAGGGGTTACTCTTGACTCTGCACTTAGGAATCACCCTTGGCGATGCTCAGGGAACCATCCACAGTCTTGGGGATTGAACCCAGGTCAACAGCATGCAAGGCAAATGCCCTAGCCACTGTACTATCACTCTGGCGCTCCTCCATGTTTTAAAACTTTTTTTTGCCACACTCTGCAGTGCTGAGGGGTTGATCCTGGCTCTGCACTCAGGAATTATACCTGGAGGTGTTAGGGGTGACCATATGATATGTTGGGGATCAAAACTAGGTTTGGCTATATGCAAGGCAAACACCCTACCCACTGTACTATTGCTCTGGCGCTGTTTTAAAACTTCTAAAACCACTGTTTTAGTTAAACTATGGCAGTTCATTCCAGGATTATAAAATATACTTCGAAGATATGTGATTTCATCATTTTAGAATAATGCTAAGCAGGAATGGAGGGGCTAGATCTATAGTACAGAGGGTAGGGTGTTTGCCTTGCACGTGGAAGACCCGGATTCGGTTCCCAGCATCCCATGTGATCCCCTGAGCACCGCCAGGGGTGATTCCTGAGTGCAGAGGCAGGAGTAACCCCAGTGCATCGCCGGGTGTGACCCAAAAAAGAAAAAAAAAGAAAAAAGAAAAAACAAAATAGGAATGGAGCGACAGTACAGCAGATATGGCATTTTCTCTGCATAAGGTTGACCAGGGTTTGATCCCAAGTATCCCATATGGTCCCCCAAGCTCCACCAGGAGTAATTTCTGAGTGCAGAGCCAGGAGTAACCCCTGATTATTGCTGGATATGGCCTCTCAAGATTCCCTCACCAAAAACAGAATAAGGAAAGGTATACTAATACTCCTTATATGAACTCTCACAATTAGTATGTTTTCCTTGTACTAGTGATGTTCTAGCAGCTTTTGAGTTTTTCACAATAAAAAAGTAAATAAGCACATTACAAAAGAAAGTAGTTCTTTGTTTTTTTCTTAATTTCTGACTCTAGAGACTGAATGTAGATTAAATCCCCAATCTTTAAAAAACATTTTAAATGTTAATTAATGTTAATTAAAAACATTAATGTTTTAACTCAAATTAGTTAGAATGTACTTTTAACAAAATGTATAAAAACTTATGTAGTATTTTGTAAATCCCATGAAAAAAAGAGAACCCCATGTTATATTCTATACAGTACGATGAAGCAGAACATGAAAAAGACAAAGATAGTCTTCTTTATAGTTTCGAATATATTATTGTATTTTCATATGTTATATTCGTTTCTCACTTAAAATTTGAAAAATTTATAATAGTCAAGATGATTTCCTAATGCTCATCTTCTCCATAGCAGTGTTTGATGAGGAAGCAGTAAAAAATAGATATACATTCCTAGGCATCTGCTTGAAGAAAATGGAAACTCTAATTTGGAAAGATATATCCGTTCTTCTATGTACAGCAGCATTATTCACCGTAGTTACCAACATGGAATCAACTGAGATGCCTAATGTCAGATGGCTGGACAAAGAATCTAAAGTACATACATTAAGAATTCCATTGTGATTAGAAAAGATGAAATTGTGCCATTTGGAATAAAATAGCTAGATACTAAGTACAATCAATGAAATAGGAAGTGATAAACAATTATTACATGGTTACACCTGTATGTGAAAAATGAATAAATAAAACAAAGAAGTTGGCAAACAACACCAGACGCACAGAAACCAATCTCGTAATTATCTGGCTCTTGGCAGAAATCCCTCCAGACTTACCTAGTAAAATATCAGAAATCCAAAATCTCAATAGTGGCCGCGCGACATCATATGGTTCTCATAACCAGCTATAGAAAACAAAGTATTTCACAATGCCTTTTCAGCAGTTCTGATTGTTGGGGGGAAATTCTAAACAATAATGGTGCATCTTTTGTTGAAATAATGAATGTAATCAAAGTAGAGAGTTAAGTAGAAATCATCTGCCTCACAGGCATTGGGAGGGGTGGGAGGGGGGGTATACTGGGGTTCTTGGTGGCGAAAAATGAGTACTGGTGAAGGGAAAGGTGTTTGATCATTGTATGATCGAGACTTAATCTTGAAAGCTTTGTAACTTTTCTTACAGTGATTCAATAAAGGCCCTCCCGTTGATCATCGATTTGCTCGAGCGGGCCCAGTAACATCTCCACTGGAGACTTTGTTGTTACTGTGTTTGGCATATCGAATACGTCACAGGGAGCTTGCCAGGCTCTGCCGCGCAGGCGAGATACTCTCGCTAGCTTTCCGGGCTCTCCAAGAGGGGCAGAGGAATCGAACTCGGGTCGGCCATGTTGGCTGCGTGCAAGGCAAACGCCCTACCGCTGTGCTATCGCTCCAGCCCTGATTCAATAAATAAATATAACAAAAATAAATGAATAAATAATTTTAAAAAAAGAAGGGAAATGGGGGGAAAAGTCAGAGGTCTCTTTTTTGATTGTGTGACAGCACTATGGTGAAATGGATGAGGGAAATACTTGTGTGGAGTGTCAATAAAAAAAGAAATGATAATGAAAAACAGGCAATAAGACAAAAAAAAGGTAATTAAAGGATTAATCCTGAAATTATGGAAAAAAAAAGACCCAATCATTATGTTTACATTGACATTTTGTCACTGTATCTTGAAAATTTCTTCTCCATATTATTTCAATATCTATTACTAACAATTTCTGGCTTTTAACTCACCCATATGTAAGTTAATAATAAAATATACACTGAATTTTCCTCTAATGGAAATACAATCGTCATATACAGATAAATTTCATACCTGTAACTCATCTTGAAGCTTACTGAGCTTTTTACTAAATGAATCTTCATTATCCTTAAGTTCTTTATTTGACCTTTGATCTTTTTTGGTTTCCAGATCTTTGTACCTTTCTTTCAATTTCTCCAATTCTGATTTAAAAACAAAATTGTTTTAAAATACACGTGGGATACAGACAAGAAACCACCAATGCCCAGAAGAAGAGACCAAGGAGAACTGATACAACTGATACAACTCCCAGAGCTACACGTTAAGTTTTTAGGGAAGAACAACTACTACAAGGAACTTTCAGGTACCCACTACATAGTGTTCAGGTATATTATATTTTAAAATATGCCAATCTTAAAAAAATTATTACTTTTTTGTCTTTGGATACTACTTGGTAGTGCTGAGGGATGATTTCTGACTGTGTCCAGGGATCACTGCTGGTGGGGCTTGGGGGTACCACATGGGATGCTGGGGATCAAACCCAGGTCAGCTGTGTGCATGGCAAGAGCCCTACACACTACAGACATATTGCTCCAGCTCCCAATATACATGCCAATATTATAAAAAACAGCCTGTAATTCTCAAAAAAAAGTGATGCATTGAGTGATATGATCATACTATTGATTGATCTAAACATTTAAGATGATATAAAGAATGGGACAGAGGTGAGACTTAGTTGAAAAATAATTCTTATTGACAGAAACACTGCAACTTAACATTGTATCTTGAAAATTTCCTCTCCAGGGGCTGGAGCGATAGCACAGTGGGCAGGGTGTTTGCCTTGCATGCGGCCAACCCGGGTTCGATTCCCAGCATCCCAATGGTCCCCTGAACACCGTCAGGAGTAATTCCTGAGTGCAGATCCAAGAGTAATCACCTGTGCATTGCCGGGTGGGACCCTCCCAAAAAGCAAATACATAAATTAATTAAATTGAATTTTTAAAAAGCCAAACTTAAAAAAAAAAAGTCCAAATCTTGATTGAGGAACCCACTTCGGGGAAACCTCCCTGAGAAATTAACCCAAGATGTATAGAGAGCCCTAATGAGAGATGTTTGGTTGGCCCTGTGATATTTAAGACAGTGAAAAATAAATAAATTAAAAAATTTTCTCTTCATATCATTTCAATATATATTAAATATTTGTAACTATATACTAACAATTTCTAGCTCTTAAATCACCCACATTTAAGTTAATAATAAAACATTCACTGAATTTTCCTCTAATAGTCAAATACAGATAAAAAAAATCATACCTATAACTCATTTTGAAGCTTACTGAGCTTTTGACACTTATTGTGTCTGTGTCCTCATCCTTTTTTTTAATATACAATTTTACTTAGATAAAACTACTTTAGGGGCAAAAGTGATACTACAGCAAGTAGGGTGCTTGCCTTGCATGTGGCTGACCTAGGTTCAAAAAAATTAGGGGAGAATATTTTTTAGAAACAGTACTAATACATACTATCCAGATAATTGACTTTTTGAGTTCTAAAGTTAAAATGTAATTTGATTAACTATAAAAAATGTGAATTCCATATAGGTAGAAACTTTGAGTTGTTCGTTACTGAATCCTCAATACTGGCAAATGCCGAAAACAATAGATCAAATAAATATCAGCTGTACAGATAGATACAAGAATGATGGCAAAAATAAAAAGGAAAACAATTTTTAAACAAAAAAAACTGAGCATAAATCATGAAACTTAGAAAAACTGTTACTTTTAACAGGATTATTTTGACAAAGCTATTATTTTTAATACTAACATTAAAAAACTAAGACTTTTTCCTCCTAAAAACACTTTTAGCCCCAATCTTAAAAAAAAATCACAGGAATATTTTTCCTTTAAATTTGTTCAATTTTTGGTATTTGTTGCCAGACCTGGTGGTGCTATTTCTGGCTCTATGCATGGGGAACCATGTGTTGCCAGACCGAACTGGGGCAAGCCCCTTTAGCCATGTCCCTGACATGTAATTATTTCTTCTTGAAAATTGTCATTGCTGAATACTTATTACTTTTAGAGTTGCTACTTCTGCTCTTCTAGAATGACAGTGCCACAAGTCTTACTAAAGTTGTTTCTGGGGACAGGAGTGATAGTACAGGTAGGGGACTATCTGTACTACCGCCGTACTAGAGGGTAGGGTGTTTGCCTGCACACGCTGACCTGGGTTTGATTTTCAGCATCCCCTATGGTTCCCTGAACACCGCCTGTAGTAATCCTTAAGTGCAGAGCCAGGAGTAACCCCTGTGCATCACTGACTGTGACCCAAACAGTCAAAAAAAAAGTTGTTTCTGGGTGCCAGAGTGGATAGGGTGCTTTCCAGGTTGACCCAGGTTCAATACCCGGTACCCCACTTAGTTTCCTCAGCTCTATCAGGAATAATTCCTGAGTGTAAAGCCAGGAGTAATCCCTAAGCATCACCAGTGTAGCTGAACTCCTACCCCCTGAAAAAAAAGTGACATTAAAATGTTGGGATCGGGAGTTCCCTGGCCCTGGGAGGCGCGGAGAGACCAGATAGACACAATTCCTGCAGGAGTAAAAACGGGGTTTATTTAGACCAGCATGCTGGGGCTCCGCAGCATACCCCAAAAATGGGCAGTGGCTGAGAGCCCCGAACTTCTTCAAAGGGGATCTTATATAGGCCTTCACTGGCCGTTACAGCAAAGCCCGCGCATTTCATAGCCAATAGATTTGTAACAACATATACTTTCTTAACCAATCCATTTAAAAGTACCTCACTCCTTAGCCTATAGATTCAAAGATCAGCATTTACGTACATCGATTGTCAGCACAAGCAAGGTTATAGCTGGAATCATTAAGCCTTAGGAAATCTCCCTTGACCATCCTCATTTTGAGTTACCCAAGTCTGCAGGGTGCTTTAGTGAGACAATACACTCCAGGAAAGGGCAATTTGCCCCAACCACCGGCATCCTGAGTTATCCTTTACCCAAATCTGCAGGGTGCTTTACTGAGACAATACATTTCAGGGACAGTAAATCACTTTCCAAGTCCCCTCTCCCCCAGGTGCAAAGCAGCCAAGCAGTTTTACAGAAAGCAATGTTGCAAGTTAGCTAAAGTACACAAAAATTTGATGCCCTAATGTGGATTCTTTCAAAAAATGACACAAATCTTCAAATATGATTCCCTTAATTAAGGGCACATAAAGAAGTTAAAACAAAAGAATTACAACAAATCGTATACATGATTTGCTGTGCCTCATTCCATTGACACCAGACTGCCAGGAGTGCTAATAAAACAGAATTCCTTTAAGGATTATTAAAGAAGTCTTAATTTTATGTAATTCATTTCCTTCATAAGCATGATTTACAAACAGATTCATACTATGTTACTAATCATAAATTTATTCAAAGACACTCCTTTATTTTTTAAATTATTTTTTGGTACTGGGGCCACACACCAAAATTGGGATTTACTCCTGACTCTGCGATCAGAAATCACTACTTGCGAAGTTTGGGGAACATATAGAATGCTGAGGATTGAACCGGAGTCAGCTGCATACAAAAGAAATGCCCTCCCTGTTGGAGTACACGGAGCTTAGGTTTATCAGATTGTACCCATCACAGTGCTCCCGAGTCACTCCCATTACTTTGTCTCTCTGTAACCTCTTGTATGGGGATCGGGAGTTCCCTAGCCCTGGGAGGCGCGGAGAGACCAGATAGACACAATTCCTGCAGGAGTAAAAACGGGGTTTATTTAGACCAGCATGCTGGGGCTCCGCAGCATACCCCAAAAATGGGCAGTGGCTGAGAGCCCCGAACTTCTTCAAAGGGGATCTTATATAGGCCTTCACTGGCCGTTACAGCAAAGCCCGCGCATTTCATAGCCAATAGATTTGTAACAACATATACTTTCTTAACCAATCCATTTAAAAGTACCTCACTCCTTAGCCTATGGATTCAAAGATCAGCATTTACATACATCGATTGTCAGCACAAGCAAGGTTATAGCCAGAATCATTAAGCCTTAGGTAATCTCCCTTGACCATCCTTGTTTTGAGTTACGCAAGTCTGCAGGGTGCTTTAGTGAGACAATACATTCCAGGAAAGGGCAATTTCCCCCAACCACCCACATCCTGAGTTATTCTTTACCCAAATCTGCAGGGTGCTTTACTGAGACAATACATTTCAGGAACAGTAAATACACCTGAATCCTGTCACACTTGGTTTAGAAAGAAGTTATGCCCTGTTCACTTTCCAAGTCCCCTCTCTCCCAGGTGCAAAGCAGCCAAGCAGTTTCACAGAAAGCAATGTTGCAAGTTAGCTGAAGCACACAAAAATTTGATGCCCTAATATGGATTCTTTCACTATGCTCTCTTCCCCAACCAATTTGTAAGGTCTCATCCTGCTTAGACACTGAAGCTGTACTGTAAGTTAATATTGTCTTTCTCCTCTCCTTATGTCTTTTGAGCAGTTTACTTTAATGCAATGTCCTTTTGTATAGATACAGGAAGATAATTAATTAATATTATGGTTTATAACTTAGGAATTAATTGGCTTTGGATATTATTCACTCCTGGGCATCTGCCTTCTCAACTTAAGCCTCAGTTGCCCTCACTTCCTAGCACCCCAAGGGCAGGGTCCCGACATGGAACTGGATGGAACCAGGGCAAGCCGGTAAGTTATGTGCTACCCTGGCATCACGATGGGCCAGGCCAAGGTGCCACGATTCTTAACTATAAGTTAAGAGTTTGATCATAGGCAAATGATGTCATGATCCAAAAGTAACGACAAGACTAGGGCCCTGCTGCTAGGAATAGGAAAGATATCTGGCCTGAGCACTGCAGTCTGAGATCTAGATGGCCCTAGGAGAGCAATTCTATAAGCTCAAAGTATTTCTTACTGTGTCCATATGAAATGATTAATATTATGTATGCTTATATGTTGGTTGGACAAGGAGAGGAGAAACACGTCCTAGAAGCAGTTTTCTGTGTGTCCTGACTAGCTTGGAAGAGACTGCTTTTATGGAGATGTAGATTCCAAGCTCTAGCAGACTGGTCTTTGTTGTGCTAATCTAAGTGCTTGTAGCTTGTGAAAAGGTGAGGCCAGGATTACTGGCCTGTGGATGTAAGGAAACAATGTATGGTTTGCCGCCTCAATGTTCTTTCTGTAACTCCTTTTGATGACATCATTATATTGCGCCCTTTAGAGGTACTATGATCTATATAAAGGAGATTTCAGGGCTCTCTGGGGGGACACATGCATCAGAGAACCTGGGAAGATGGGGCTGAGGACAGAAGCTGGGAGAACAAAGGCGCACGTGCTTGAGGATTCCTGAGGCCTCCATGACATACATCTCTTCCATGTAATAAACGGCTGCTAAGACCAACCAGCCTGGCCCCCGTTTCCTTCCTTCACCTGACCATCGCCATCGACCTCCGTGGAGTGGGGAAACGGCCTGACCGCCGGCCGTTTTATTTTTTGTGTGTTTACACACCTCCCCACTCTGGCCCCCCAACCCTTTCTTTATCTTTACATTTCACACTCAATTAGAAGCACAGACTTTATATTTCACTTCAAATTAATAAAGTGGCAATACTAACTAATGACCATCACCTAAAATTTTATTTATTTATTTATTTACACTACACTTGATCTTAGCCAAAAGGCCGAGAAGCCTATTTATTTAGCTTTTTGGGGCATGCCTGGCGATGCTCAGGGGTTACTCCTGGCTCTGCACTCAGGAATTACTCCTGGCAGTGTTCAGGGGACCATATGGGATGCTGGGAATCGAACCCGAGTCGGTGGTGCATGACAAACGCCCTGCCTGCTGTGTTATAGCTCCAGCCCCACCTATAATTTTAAATGTAAGGCCAGTAAAGGGAAAAAAAAAGATAATGTTATTGCCTCCAAATAACATATCACAAAACAATTCAGAAATATGCAACAAATCAAACAACTTCAATACATTTAAGAGGTAGATATCTTGGGCTGGAGACATAGTATAGAAGGTAAGGTGCTCTGCCTTGTAAGAAGCTGACAAGGATTTGATCTCCAGCATGGAAGATAGTCTTCTAGTATCACCAGGAGTGAGTCAGGAGCACACCAGGGTGTGGCCCAAAAACAAAAACAAAAGTGAAAAAGAAAAAGAGATATCTATCCCTATGTGTTATCACAGTAGAATAAATGACTGTCAAATGGACAATCAATTATTTACCATCAGAAAGAGAATCACTTAGAACAATAATATTCTGGAATACTTTCAAGGAGGAAAGGTTTAGAGAATAAATGTTCTTGAGAGAACATATGAGAATAAGTGGTAAGTGGAAAGAACATCACACACTAGAGACAAAAATGACACATAAACGTCAGGCAAAACAATGGATGAGAAATATTTCGTGATAGTTTGCACTTATTTTCTATCTGTATACCAGTTACATTTAAGACAGTACAGGACAGGAAAGACACAACAGGGGTTAATGTGCTTGCTTCACATGTGGCTAATTCTGATTTGGTCCCCGGTACCTCATATAGTCCCGGAAGTCCCTCCAGGAGGGATTCCTGAGCCCAGTCAGGTGTAAGTCCTGAGCACAGCCACGAATGGCTCCCAAGTTTGTTTTTTTTTTCTTTAAAAACAAAACAAAACTATAATGGATTAGGGAGGACCATAATCCAACAGGCAATGTCCTTTTAAGAAGGGGTAGGGGCCATGGCCCAGTGGTGCCCAGGGCTATTGCTGGCTATGCGCACAGGAGCTCACCTGGGGGTGTTCAGGGGATCATTGTGGTGCTGGGGATTGGACCAGGATTGGCCAGATGCTATGCAAGTGCCTTAACCCCTATACTCTCTCTCTCTGGCTCCTTAAAAGAAGAAAATTTGGGAATAAATATATATTTTTAGTGAAGCAAGATAGTTTTTATTTTTTTGGCTTTTTGGGTCACACCAGCAATGCTCAGGGGATCGATAATGGGACCATATGGGATCAAACCCAGGTTGGCTGCGTGCAAGGCAAATGTACCCTTCACTGTGCTATCCCTCTGGCCCTACAAGGTGATTTTTACTGAACAAAACTTACTTAGAACAAAGGAGAAATATTTCCTCTCCAGAGTGGGGGGGAAAAAAAAACTAAGACGCACTGACACAAGCAAGCAAGATGTGTACATATTCAAGGGAGAATATGGGCTTGAAGGAGAAAGGATAAATGCATTTTATTATTGGAATCAGGGATTTGTTTCTGACCTCTGCATACTTTCTCGTACTGTTGAATAGCTTCTTCTGCTTTTTGGTTATTTAACTGCTCCTGAAAAATGAAGCAACATGAATTAAATTAGCACAGCGGGTAGGGCGTTCGCCTTACAAGCGGCCAACATGGCCGACCCGAGTTCGATTCCTCTGCCCCTCTCGGAGAGCCCGGCAAGCTACCGAGAGTATTCAATATGCCAGACACAGTAACAACAAAGTCTCCAATGGAGACGTTACTGGGCCCGCTCGAGCAAATCGACGATCAGCGGGAGGGCCTTTACCTTTACCTATAACTTAAAACACACAGAAATACTTAACAATGGGACTTTCACTTTGGTAAAAAGGGAGAATGGGAAGTGTAATGGGAAGAAACCCGTTATACTTTATGGATAGGAGACAACTCAGGGCTGAGCATATGCTTTGCATGCAGGATGTCCACACCACCCTGATACCACATAGGGGATTGCCAGTGATCAAACCAGGTTTGGCCGCATTCAAGCCAAGTGCCCTAATGCTATACTACTATTGCAGCCCACAAGACAGTTTTTATTGAAACTTATTTAGAAAGATGTGAGGGGAGGAAAAGCGGTGTGTTTTTAGAATACAGCTTCCCCAGATGGGAAACAAGGAAGCAAAGAGGCAGAGATGTGTTTCAGGGCGAACACGGGCTTGAAGAGCAAGCCAACAGAATCTTTCCAAGCCATTCTTAAAAGCAAAATTTACCGTAAGTTGCTGAATGGTTCGCTGTTTCATATCTATTTCCTGGGAACCCTGGTTTTTCTTTTTCTCCAGTTCATTAATTTTAACCCTCATTAATTTCTCTTCATCATGCATTACAGATACCTAGAAAGTAAGATTTATAAGAGATTAAATATTTTTATTATGAACAAAAATATTCATTATACAAATTAATAAACGCAACAAATAGAACTTTTGCGGTAGGTTTTTTCCCTCTTGGGGTACACCCTGCTCAGGGCTTACTCCTGGCTCTGTGCTGAGCAATCAATCCTGGCAGGCTCTGGAGGCCCTATGGGATGCCAGAGATCAAATCCAGACTGGCCACATACAAAGCAAATGCCCTTCCCACTGCACTCTCTGTACAGCCCTGGCAACAAGTACTTTTATTTTTATATTGGCTTCCTCTACTGTTTTATCTAGATCGTCATCAGTTAGTTCAGTTTCCATACTTGGCTTTTCTTCATTTTTTTCTAGATCTTCAACCAAATCTTCATCTTCCAAGTATTAAATGTAAAAAGATCCACTATTGCATGGGAAAGTAACCTAGAAGATCCCATGCAATAGTGGATCTTTTTACATTTAATACTGTATTTTCTGAATTATTAATGTCTAGTGATACATCTTGAGAAGATCTGATAGATCCAAAAGATTTCTCTTGAGAGGAATTTAAAGACTCTGGAACACAAACCTGTCAAAAATTCAAAGGTGATTTTTAATAAATGGAAAGAATTGTCCACTAATAATTAAAAATTTTAAGTAAAATGACAAGTTGATTGCCTTAAAAAAACCCACAGAACACATAAGGATCAACCCTTGAGAAGGGCAACTAAAAAAAAAGTAAACTACACATGCAAAGTTATGCTCAGAAACATGTACTTTCTTCAGTTAAGTTCTCATCCTAACAGGACCTCCTAATTTATTACTAAATGAACCAGAGAGATGGCTAAGTTGAAAATTAGTGTAAGAATATCCATCAATGGTCCCCTGCAGGTATTGTGTTTGCCTGGTACGCATCTGTCCCGGGTTCGATTCCCAGCATCCCATATGGTCCCCCAAGCACCGCCAGGAGTAATTCCTGAGTGCAAAGCCAGGAATGACCCCTGAGCATTGCTGGGTGTGACCCAAAAAGCAAAACAAACAACAACAACAAAAATTTCAATAATTTCCTAGGTTTACAATTAAAAGAACAATTTCTTTTTTTTACCTACACAAAGAAAAACACAATGATATTCTATTAAGTTCTATGGAAACTTGAATATATTTACCTTTTGTGCAATGGCTCAGAACGTCAACACATTGAGTGTTTCATCATAGGCAAAACAGCACTGACTGATGTTGACAATCAGAGATATTTTCCCTTTACCATTAAAAAAGCTTTGAAAATAGTGAGTCAGTTTACTTTCCCTAAAAGGCACGTGTTGAAACCTATGAAAAAAAAAGTTTCACAAGAACTTTAAGTTAAAACAAATCAAGTGAGGGGGCGGAGTGATGGTACAGCAGGTAGGGCGTTTGCCTTGCATGCAGCCGACCTGGGTTCAACCCCCGGCATCCCATATGGTCCCCTAAAGCACCATCAGGAGTAATTACTGACTGTAGAGCCAGGAGTAACCCCTGTGCATTGCCAGGGGTCACACACACACACACACACACACACACACACACACACACACACACACACACCCCAAAACATACTCTAGCGAAGTCAAGATTCTAATAAATTTTACAGGGAAGTAATTAATCTATTATAGATTTAAATTCTAGACTAGAAATTAGTTACTCGTGTAATAATAATTTTTTGCTTACTTATATTTTTAAAAAACTACCACCACAATTAACCCACTAGGCAGAATGTTAAAAAAAATACCAAACTGGGTTGCTTTCAGCAATGTAGAGCAATTTTATATATATATAATACATATCATTAAACACTTAGAAACAGGCCAGAGAGGTGGCTCAGGGGCCTAGAGCTCATGCCTTGTGGGCAGAACAGATTAAATCACTTGCACTATATGGTTCCCTGAGCACAAGACTGGTGTAATCCTCAAGCACAGCTGAGTGTAGTCCGAAAACCAAAAACCGTAACTACTAGTGATGAAGACTAATTCATAATTTACTCAACCTAAAATGCTTAGGCAGAAATCAGTCACATCTAGAGCATAATTATAATGAACAAACCAGCATCATGAAAAGCTTATTAGCTACTGACATATATTTTCTATGAAAACCTTTATTTACTTGGCAAATCACTAACATTGAGACTGTGTTCCTTTCTTCTTCTCCTTTTTTTTTTTTGATTTTGGGCCATACCCATTGATTCTCAGGTTACTCCTGGCTCTATGCTCAGGAATCACCCCTATCGGTGCTAGGGGATACGTGATGTGGAGGATCAACCAGGTTGACTGCGTGAAAGGCAAGTGCCCAACTAGCTGTACATCTCTCTGGCTCTTGTGTTTTATTTCTATCATTAAAAAAAAAGCAATCATAAGCCATTGTCATTACATAAAAAAAACAGGTTAAGAAAAAATACTTTCTGGGTCGGGGAGATAGCTCAAAGGGATAATGAATGTTCTGCATGTCCGGGCCCCAGTTTCCATCTACTACTTGGTTCCGAGTAGTGCTTGAAGCTGGCAATGCTGGAAGTAGTCTCCAGCACTACCAGGTGTGACCCCCCATGTGAGCCCTCCACAAAGGAAAAAGAACTTCTTAAAAGCTTAAGTATTTTAATACTAAATATGCTAGTAACACTTATAACACTTACTTTGACTTTTCACTATTTTTCAAAACATTAATACACTTTCCCAGAGCCAATAAAGAAGTGTTGATGTTCCCAGTTTCTCTTAAACTTTCACCTTCATTTTGTGTCTTCATGCTTCTTTTTGAACCAGCAAGATCACACAATGACAGTCTGAGTGAACCAAAAAGAAAGAAAAAAATAACAAAAATAACTTTAAAGGCTTTTCAAACAGAACAACTCAAAATAATAAGAATTTAAAGTATGACCAACTTACTCACTGACTTGTGTTACATGAGGCATCTCAGAATCTTTGATCTTCAATATTCGTATAGTAAATATGCTGTGACTAAAAGAAAGATCAAATGTTATCTTTTATTCGTAATTTTGGCATTAAAATATTCTAGGAGGCAATTAACTAAATAAGAAATCTATTTATGTCCTGATACGAGTCATGGTTCCAGTAGTATATTTTCTAACTAGCTGCCAGAGAGCTCACTTCAGTACTTGGGTATCACCTATACATCCACCCATATAAAATGAAATCTTTCATTTCACTTAGCCCACATGCCTTAAACTGAGTAACAATAAAATCTCAATTTGCTTGCAAAAGATCATACTCTTAGTTTAAATGGTATTTATTATACACAGTTCTCTTAGAATTATGCCATTTGACCTATATATATGCTTGTCTGGATTATATATCCTCACGATGTACTGAGAAAAGAAGGACAGGATTATTTACATCTTAAGAGAAATCTGTTTGAAGTATCTCATTGCTGAAACTTGTTTTAACTTTGTCTCACATTCTAACTCCTTCCCTCTTCCCTTAACCTCAAGATCTGGGCAAACCCAGGTTGCAGAAAAGCTATGTTCATGGGATAACTGCAAAAAATAAAAAAATTCACCAATACTTGCAACTCTGAAAGGAATAAGCTTAGATATTAACATAAAGAAAAGCACCTGGGAGACAAATTAGTAAATCCAAGAATAAATGTTCCTGATAAGTTTTATTTTTAGAGTGCACTTCATGTTACAGTATTCTGCACGTCTGTGAAAAAACTTAACAGCAGATAACCTCCTACTTACTTTAATCTTAATTAGTTTTATTTAAATTAGCATAGAATAGTCTAGGTGCTTTGGGTTTATGCCAAAGGATGCCTTCTTTACCTTCTACTTGAAGCACTGTTCAGTTTAGTAAAGGCAACACTCCGATTCTTTATTCCTGGTTTTAAAAGTTTGTATGCTTCTTTGGAATCACACACTTGAATCCAATGTAGATCTTGATAAAATAAAGAAGGTACAGATAAAAAAAAACACACAGCATTTGTCATATAACATAAAGTCATATAAATATATGCCCTAGAGGTAGAATCAACTCAGCTTTTGACTATTTTGTTAGAAGGTATAGAAAAGGAAGACATAATGTCACAGACATCAAGTCAAAGTTTTTTTTTAATTTTTATTAGTGAGACATCATGAGGTACAGTTGTAGACTTACAAACTTTTGTGCTTGGGTTTCAATTAAACAATGATCAAATACCCATCCCTCCACCAGTGTCCATTTCCCACCACCACGGATCCCAGTATCCCTCCCACCCCCCATCCCCTCCATCCCACCCTGCCTCTGTGGCAGGGCATTTCCTTTTGTTCTCTCTCTCTTATTGGGTGTTGTGGTTTGCAAAAGAAGCAATGGGTGACAAAGTTAAAGTTCTTATATAGTCTGACAAACAGAAAATCTTTTTCTTAGAAGTAGAATCCAGAACATAAAAGAAAAATACAGTATAGCTTAAGTCTATAGCGGTGAGACAATGCAGATTCAAATTAAGCCGTCATAAAACAAAATTTACTCAGTCATAATCAGTATTATGTAAAATTAAGTTAAAAAAAGGTGGGGCTGGAGAGACAACTGATGTGACAAAGAGCACAGGGCTTAAGCTCTAGCACCACCTGGTCCTTCAAGCACTGCAGAGTGACTCCTGAGCACTAGGCTGGGAGCAGTCCTTGAGCACTGCCCAGTATTGCCCCAAATCAAAATTATTATATTACTACAAAGGTTATACTTTATCGTAAATAAAATCTGAGGCATAAATATACATGCATGTATTAGTGTGCATATTTATATATATATGCAGGTACTAAGTCACGGCAGTATTGATACGTAGGTATTGAGGCTGTGAGTAGGATTTTCTATCACCTCTCCTTCTCTTCCTCTCTCTAAGAGCCAAACCCAGGGCCTCACTATCAAAACATGCACTCGACCACTGCTCTGAAAACAGGTCACTTTATTTTTCTTTTTGTTTTTGGGCCATACCAGAGATGCTGAGGGCCTACTCCTGGCTCTGTGCTGGAGTAGGTCGGTCTCTGTCCTCCCGGTGGGTGCTGGGACCACATGGGGCTCCTAGAATTGAACCCAGGTGGGCTGCATCCAAGGCAACCTACTATACTATCATTTTGGCCCCTATCTAAGCATTTAAAATGGCCTGTTCAGGGGCTGGAGCAGGTTGGGAGAATAGCATTTCGATAGTTGTCAATTTGGACACTGTTATAGGGCAGAATAATATGAAAACTCACAGCTTTTCCCACTTGTGAATCCAATTAGGGATATTTGGCAACGCTATGGCAACACTCAGGTAGAGCCCTTTATATTCAGGTTTAATTAACATACTTCCTAAACACAATCTTTTTATCTTGAATTTTAAAAGAATAAAATAATTTCAATTTCTGGTTTGATTTTTTTGAGGGGAATCATTATGATCGGGGTTACTCATGCGCTGCACTCAGGAATAACTATTGGCAGTGCTTGGGGGACCATATGGGGACGTCAGGGATCAAACTCAGGTTAGCTGCATGCAAGGCAAATTCCTTACCCGCTGTACTATCGATCTATTCCTTGGTTTGATTTCTTATAGCTTTAACAAAATCTAGAAAGGAACTTTGAATCATTAAATAAAATAAAAAGTACTCATTACTATACCTTTTATAAAAGAATAGCCCTTTACATCCTGAGAAAGGCATAGCATATTTCTCTTTAGGAGCTTAGAAGATACAGGAACAAACAAGTCATAAATACATTCATTGTAAATCTCAAAGAAAGAAATCCAAATAGAAAACTTTATGCTATCATCCATGTTCAAGCAGGACTGTTCACAATCTTTCATAAATTCTTCAAACTCTGAAGTACTCAAAGAGTTCGTCGAACTCCCTACAAAAAATTTTAAAAAGGATAATCACAACAATTCAGCAACTCATTAAAAACAAGATAACAGGATAGAACAAGCCTCCTAGACTTGAAAACTAAGTATTCTTAATCATTTAACAGCAGCTCATAGATTTCAGATGAAACAGATATCTGTTTGTCAACTAAAGTTTGGCTTATTTTTCTTTTCCTTTTGGAAATATTCTAATGAACCAAACTGAAACCAAAGTCAAAGGACAAAGAAAAAAATTGTCTTGTGAATTTAAGATATTTGAACTAGTAAAGGGCTATTTATGCTCTAAATAAAACTTTAGATTGACATTTCATACTAAGTATCATTTTCTAGATTTGTACTGTCACTAAAGAAATTAAATCAATAGGAATGATTAAAATTTAAAAGCTTTTCATGTATTTCTTCAGACAATACACATTTTAAAGATTAGTGAAAAAGGACACCTTACCATGAAGAGCATCATAACTGTCATGATGCATAGCAGCCTGAAAATAAAAGATTAAAAAACTTTAAAACCATGTTAAGATAGTTGATCTACTAAATTTTCCAGCCAATTAAAAAAATACATTCTCAGGCCAGAGAAACAATATAGGGGTTACAGAATGTACTTTGCGTTCTGCCAACACTGGTTCTAATTCTGGGCACCAAATAGGGTCTCCTGAGCATTGCTAGGAGTTACTCTTGCACACAGAGCCTTGAGCACTGCAGACTGTGGCCCAAGTCACTCCCAACCCCTCATAAAGGGAAAGCTGGAGAGAAAGTACAGGAGATATGGCCAAAGCATCTCCTACTCCTCCCCCCCTCAAAAAAGGGGGAGCTGGAGAGATAGGACAGGACTAGGCACTTAGCCTTCCATACTGTTGCAGCAAAAAGTACTAAATTACTGGTTTGAATTCTTGATACTATGTGTGGTCCCCTGAGTAACACTTCTTAGCAGAGCCCAGAATAGCCTCTGAGTAACAATGGCTATGATCCCCACTCCCTAGAAAAGGGGTCCAGGGATAGTGCATTGGGTAAGGTGCCTGCCTTGCATGCAATTATTGGCACCCCATATGGTTCTGAGTGATCCCAGGAGTAAGCCCTGACTGCAGTTGGTAAGGGCCAGAAAACAAAGCAAAACAAAACTAAAAACCACCCAAAAATACAAACAAAAAAAGAAAATCTCTATCAATCCCAAGGCAAGTGTCCAACCCACTGTACTATCTATCACCCTGGCCCTATAGAAAATATTCTGTTAAAGACTTTTACAAAACTAGATACACGGGGACCGGAGAAGCAGTAGAGCAGAGAGAGCGCATGCCTTGTATACAGCCAACATGGGTTTGACTCCAAACATTTTATATGGTCCCCAGAACACCTCCAGGAGTAACTCCTAAGTGCAGAATCAGGCATAACCCTTAAGCATCACTGGGTATGGCCCCCCAACCAAAAAAACAAAACAAAACAAAACAAAATAAAACACAAAAATACATACAAAAACTTTTTTGTAAGTTCTTTCTGTATAATATGAATAGTTTCTAGTCTGGTAACTTTGTTCTTTAGGAAGAGAAATGTTCACTTTATATTTTACACATTCCCTATATTTTTTATATACAAATTACTTCCACAATTAAGAAGTAATTTTAAGGGCACCAGAGCGATAGTACAGTGGGTAGGATGTTTGCCTTGTATATAGCTGACCTGGTTTTGATCCCCAGCATCCCATATGGTCCTATGAGCACTACCAGGAGTAATTCCTGAATGCAGAACCAGAAGTAAACCCTGAGCATGAATGGGTGTAGTCCAAAAACCAAACCAAAGAACAAAACCTGCCCCCCCCCCATAGCCCCGATTACCATCATACATTCCACTATAGGCTAAAACAAATGATGGAACTTTAAAAAAGGCTATAATGTGTATATTATATACTAAGACAACTCCAAACCTCTTTAGTTTGCCGAAGCAATGCACTTTTGCTAGTAACTTCTTTCTCTTGATCTGGTGACAATTGTAAATATTCTCTGGCTCTGTGTGGTTTAAGATTCATTTTCGTATATAGTCTTCCCTGAAGAGTGTCAAATAGTACATTCAAAGTCCGAGGCAGGATGCCAACATTCTCTTTCGTGCCTGTGGAAAGAATTTTTATCTTGTTTTCTCTCAGAGTACTGTGAAGGAAAAGAATTTCTGCACTATCAGGGTTCCTTTTATGTCACCTGTAGGCACGGTAGCACTGTCCTTCCGTTGTTCATCAATTTGCTCGAGTGGGCCCAGTAATGTCTCCATTGTGAGACTTGTTACTGTGTTTGGCATATCGAATACGTTACGGGGAGCTTGCCGGGCTTTGCCCTGTGGGCGAGATACTCTCGGTAGCTTGCCGAGCTCTCTGAGAGGGGCAGAGGAATCAAACCCAGCTTCGCCGGGCCGGCTGCGCACAAGGCAAATGCCCTACCGCTGTGCTATCGCTCCAGTCCAATAGCCAAAAAAAAAAAAAAAAAAACCCAAAAATACAAAAAAACAAAACCCTACAGCAAAAGCAAGGAGTTAAAGGATTACTAATTTTTCTTTCACTCTGATCTCTGTTGTACAATCAACACTTTTTAAACTATTATTCTGATACAAAACCTGAAATTTTACATTCAGAGCAAGACTTAAAAAGTGCAACCACTCATAATTATAAAATAGAAAATGTTTTTGCTTCTTTGCTCTGCTTAATTCACTATGTTATATCAATCCTTTTACTGGTTTCTGTTTTTTATTTTTTTTCTGGTTTGGAAGTGTTTACCCGCTGTATAACACAGCAAGTAGGGTGTTTGCCTTGCACACTGCCGACCTGGGTTCGATTCCTCCTCCCCTCTCAGAGAGTTCGGCATGCTACGGAGGGTATCTCGCCCGCATGGCAAAGCCTGGCAAGCTACCTGTGACGTATTCAATATGCCAAAAACAGTACCAACAAGTCTCACAATTTGTTGTGAGATGTTACTGGTGCCCCCTGGAGCAAATCAACGAACAACTGGAGGACAGTGTGACAGTGCTTGGAGGTGTTTAGGATTTACTTCTGACACTGTGCTCAGGGATTACTCCTGGTGGTATTTAGAGGGATTTTATGTAGCGCTGAACTTCAAGTACTGTAAATCAAGTGTCTTACTGGCGTTACTACCTCTCTAGTTCCCTATTTTTAGTATTATCTACGTCTCTTTTTGTTTTTTTTTTCAGGGCACACCCAGTCCTGACTTTGTTCTAAGAGATCATTCCTGGAGGTGCTCAAGAGATACAATCAGAGTCAGCTAAATGCTAGATAAGCAAGCACCTTATCTCTCTTCAACTCCCCTTATCATCAAACTCTTTCATATAGGTAGTTGTACTAATTAAAAAAAAATCAAACTGGGGGCTGGAGCAACAGTACAGCGGGCAGGGCATTCGCCTTGCATGTGGCTGACCCAGGTTCGATTCCCAGCATCCCATATGGTCCCCCGAGCACCACCAGGAGTGATTCCTGAGTGCAAATCCAGGAGTAACCCCTGAGCATTGCTGGGTGTGACCCCCCCCAAAAAAACCCAAAAACCCAAACTGAATTAAAAGTCACTAGCAATACATATTCAATATACTTAAAAATGGAATATACTAGGTAGTGAAAATATAATTATAAACAAGTATATAAAAATCTGTATTGGTTCTTCTTTATTCTTTCCTGAATAAATAAAACAATTACCCTGAAAAGTATATGTTTTTCCAGAATTTGTTAGCCCATAAGTAAAAATCAGCCGACTTTCTCCTTTCAAGAGGTCTTTTATTTGCTGCAGAGTACAATCTCAGAAGAATTCCTTCTGTGTAGTTTCTGGGCCAAAAACCTAAAACAATTTTTAAAAAGAAGACCTTTAAAGAAAATTTCAGGACTCACAAATGAATCTTAGAAAAGAGCAGCATGCTGCAGAGATAGATATCTCCCCACCACTCACCAGGCTGATTCCACCGGGCACATAGGAGGGGGGCAGGTGTGTCCATGTGCCTGCCCCAGATGAACCCGAGCAGCCTCAAACCTCCAGAACCCAATCCCTGCCACGCTCACAGCCGACCTTCACAGGTTCTTCCTTAGGGAGCTCCCTTTGCATGAGAATGAATCTGCTAATACCCAGGAATGCAGGAACTGTGACTGAAACCCCAGGCTTCATGAAGTCAGGAATGGGCAACCCCCCCATATCGCTGCCCTTCTGTTTTCCTGGAAGGCACCACAGAAATGCCTCTGAATCCCAAATATTTAAAATTTTAGAATTCTAGGAGCACGTGGCCATGCAACATCTCATACTATTCACAACAAGCAATACAAAATAAATTAAATTTAGCATCTGCCTGTGCGGCAGGCTTGGGTAGTAGTGGGAAAATTCAAAAATGGGAGTGAGATTGGAGTTGAAATACTGAATGTAATCAATTATTGTGAATAGCTTTATGAAGATAAAAAATTTAAAAATTTAAAAAATAAAGAAAAATTTAATAGTTACTATTAACAATGGATTCCTCCCCATCTGTCACTCACTTAATCACTTAATCACTTAACTTCCCGTTAGTCGTCGATTTGCTCGAGCGGGCGCCAGTAACGTCTCCATTTGTCCCTGTCGCGTGCTAGTGTAGCCCAATGGCATCTTTTCGCTCCGGGAACATGGAGGGCCTCAAACCGATCGTTCATGACCTTGACAAAGAAGTCTGACCGATCAGCTGAAGAACTTCACATCGGAACCCATGGCCTAGAATGGAACGAACAGGGTGAGAGACTGTCTGAGTTCATCATGTCGACCAAGACCATTCATGGTAACTCACAGTTCCAGAAGGCAGAATCTAAACGATGGACATGGGAGTCTCCCGGTGGACGATTCCACAACGAAATAGACCACATCATATTCAATCGACGGTTTTGCCTGACTGATGTCGCTGTTGTCCCAAAATTTCGAACGGGATCGGACCACCGTCTCCTTCGTGCAAAATTCTACTTCACAGAGCGGGGAGAAAGGGCTGCAAAGTTCAAAAAGAGAACTCCCATAACGACCACCAACTGGGAACTCTTTGGTACTATTGCGGCAACATGGGAAGATGCCATTGTTGACAACATTGACGAGGAATACGATCGACTGGTTCAGCACCTCCATGAATGTGCGAGGAACGCCAAGAGAGAGATAGCCACAAAAAGTCGCCTATCTTCGAAAACTCTTGAGCTAATTCGCCAGCGTGGTTTGGCGCATGCCTCAGGCAACCGCAAGCTAACGTCCGAGCTTGCAAAGCAGTGCAGAGATGCGATCAAGGAAGACCTCAAAGAGAGAAGAGCAGAAGTACTGGTAGATGCGGCAGAAGCCGGGAAAAGTATTCGTAACGCCCGCCTGTCCTTCGCCAACTATAAGACCAAGATGACTGCCCTCCGACGTCCTGATGGATCCATCACATCCTCCAGAACGGCAATGGAGAAGATTATCCATGACTTCTACTCAAATCTCTTCGATAGCCATGTCCACTTGCCGACATACCAAATTCCACAGGATGGGTATGTCGTTCCCAACGTTCTCCCTTCCGAAATCCGACACGCCATTTCGTCAGTAAAGAAGCAAACAGCACCCGGCCCAGACAAGGTCAGACCTGAACACCTGAAGAACCTGCCGTCAGTACTCATCATCTGTCACTCATACTTTAAAAATTAAAATAATTTGTTTTAGAAGATTCATTCTTAATATAGTACCGTATTCCTAACTCTTACAAATATACTTGATAAAATTGTTTAAGGACCACACACTGATTTGTTCACTACCATTATACATGTATTAAATTTGGCATTTGAGTCCTAGACTTGAGAAAAAAAGTACTGGTGCTTAAGATCTAAGTTCCACAACCACAAAATACACACACACAGAGCAGTCTATATACACAATTTTGTAATAAATCTGCCAAAGTTTCCCTCTCCTAAAAGAAGACTTTTCAAGTTCACATTTTCTAGTGTACCTACCTTAGAGAAACTGAATTTCTGTGCCATCTGCGTAGAACTTTTCTCACTTAACCTATCAGGGATGCTTTAAGGATCTTTCAGCATAATAGTCTGGGAGTCTAAACTATAAACACAACCCTAAATAGAACACAACACGCAAAATGAAACATAACAAATAAATGAAAATAATGGTATTTTGTCCATTCAATACAAAAAGTAAAAGAATAAACCCCAAGCAAACTCAGCACAAACCTGAGTCTCTTGTTCTTTTTCTGATTGTGTGAATGGTCTCACCCGAAGATAAACTTGGAGATAATCTGTGGGTTCCAAACTGCTTGTCTTAAAAAACAAAAAAAAGGGAGCAAGATAACTTTATTTTAAAGATACAAAATAGGGCTTTTCATAGGTCATCTTTCTTTAAAGTGGGCTGTAAAGACATTATAGAGGGATAAGGCACTTGCCTGCATGTGACTAACCCTTTTTCAATCTCTGGCACCACAATCCCATATTCCTAATTTGGAAAATGAATGGGTGGGGGAGGAGAAGTGGGTAGTAAGAGACACTCATAACAGAATCTATAAAAAGTGACTAGATCTATTAATTGGAAAACCTTTTCCTCCCCAGATGTCTAAAGATACACCACCTGATGTATCTGTTGAATGTAATCAATTATTGTGAATAGCTTTATGAAGATAAAATTTAAAAATTTAAAAATAAAAAAATTTATAGTTACTATTAACAATGAACACATGAACAGTACTGTAAATCATGGTATCTCAATTGGGAGTAAATCATGAAAAAGTTACTAAAATGGAAGGTTGCCTCAACTCTACAGATTTTTTACTGTTATTTTTTGGGGAATTGTGGTGCTCAGGGGCTACATTCTGGTTTGTACTCTGGTGGTGCTTTGTGACCATGTCAGACCAGAGTTTAACCCAATTTTCCTGCATGCTAACGATGCATTCAGTCTGCTGAGCTACCTCTCCGACCCAAAATCCAGCCAGAAAAGCTCTATTCTAGATCTACCATATTTCCATGCAGACACACATTTCCACTCAACTAAGATACTCAAAACAGTGCTTTTCTTGTACTCACCTCATTGTTCGAAGCAACTAAGGAAAATTTATGTGAGAGATCAAGCTTAATGGCATCAAAATTTATTTCTGAAGGTCTTACCTCTGGGTCAGCACTAATAACATCAGATAGTCCAGGCAATTCATCTTGATTTAAATTGGACGCCATCCTGCAAGAGTAACAACCGTGTTAGTCAACTTTATTTATTTTTTGCTCACACCTGGCGATGCTCAGGGCTTACTCCTGGCTCTGCACTTAGGAATTACTCCTGAGTGCAGAGCCAGGAGTGCTTGGGGAACCATATGGGATGCTGGGAAATGAACCCGGGTCCGGCTGTGTGCAAAGCAAACGCCCTACCCACTGTACTATCACTCCAGTCCCTTGTTGGACAACTTTAAACCAACATGCATGCCACAATAATTTTGAAAGTCTGACTTGAGCAACCACTGCAAATGATATTCTAATGACATGCTGAACATTGGAAGGCCAGCGGCACTCTATCTCTCCTGCCGCCCATGTTCGGTAGCTCGAGCCATTTCCCCTACCCCAGGGAGGTCGATGGCGATGGGCAGGCGAGGGAACGAACAAGGGCCACGCTGGCCGGTCGTATTAATTGTCGTTTTTTCCAATCTTCACCCACCCCTTTGCTTCTCTCTCTCAAGCCTAAGCCCCTCTCACCTCTGACTCTTTCCTCTGGGGCCCAGCCTCCTCCTCAGCCTGAGCTTTCTCCCGCCTGCCTGCACCTTCTAACCCCCTCCGAGCTTACAGTCTTAGTTTATATAGTAATCATATGGGGTGGTGACACAAAGGTGGGTTGAACATTAACAAATCAGCAAAGGGAGGTAAGACCACTCCTCGAGGAGATTAACTCACGGATAAAATCTCATCTAAAGAGATTATTCCAGATTACTAGGAGATCTGCTCAAAGGTGGGATCCCAACAAGGGTATGTTCTTTCCTCAGCTAGTACTTTCAATATTTCTAGCAATGTCATTCTGTATGAACACAGTAAGAGATATAAACTTACAGTTTGGTTCTTCCTGAGGACATCTCACCATATATTCCGCAGTCCTCAGGCCAGGTTAGTCTTCCTAGCCCCAGCAGGGTCCTAGTCTCGTTGTTACTTACTTTTGGATCATGACAGCATTTGTCCATAATCATGCCCTCAACTTATCTCACAACTTGCCCTGGGTCCCTCGTCGGGACCTTGCTTTAGGGGTGCTAGGAACTAAGGGAAACTGAGTATTATTCGGAGTCAATTAACTCCCAAGTTACAAAGCATAATATTCAATGTCTTCCTGTGTCCATACAGAAAGGACATTGCTTTAAGGTAAATTATAGGAAAGACATAATTTACAATACGAGTTTAGTGTCCTTAGAAGGATCTGATCTTACAAGCTAACAATCTGATTAGGGAGAAAAGGTGATCAACTGGCTAGGGAAGAGAGCACAGAGAAGAGTTTACAGATAAACAGAGGAAAGTGAGTGACTTAGGAGCACTGTGATGGGTGCTCCTTGTGGCAATGGAGAAAGGACAAGCCAGAGTTATCCTACAAACATTGTTTATAATTTTGATAGAAAAAAGCAATCTCCATGTGTCATGCTGAACAAAGGATGTTTTTGAAGATCTGCTTTCTTTTTATGTCATTTTACATAAGTCAAAGTCTTTAAGAGCCTCCTGGCAACTTTGAGTGAAGAAGTACTGTTACTAGATCTTCAAAGGAAAACACAAGACGACTGACTATAATGACCCATGGAAAAAGCAAAAGGTTAACTAATTTACATATTTTAAGTCATATAATAACACCTACTAGTATTATTTATATAATATAATCTCTACATGTAAATTCATCTAGAGATTTAATGAATAATCTGTCAACAGAGGAAAACTCTGAATCCCTGCATGCATGTCTCAAACATGGAGGTGGAAAATTCTCTCTAAATGAAATAGAAAGAAGATGGTTAAGAAAATTACGACACTGGTCCTTCACGTCCTACCGAGGTTACGAGTTGCCCCCCACAAGCGGCTCTCTGGCACGGCCATGGCTCCAGAGGCAAAAGGACTTAATCCAGAGCCTGGAAGCTTGCGGCAGAAAAGTGAATGGACCATGCATTAAATTACAGGCTCCATGCTCCCCCAGGAGGGAAAGGGTGTTGCTCCCTTCCACCTTCCCCCCCTCCACCCCCAGCAGCAAGGTGGCCGCTACCTCAGAGTGTATTGGAAAGCCAGGTATGAGCCGGCAGTGATGGGGCAATTGCAGTCTCATGGGAAGGGGGACAGTACCGGCACGTCCTTCACGCCCTACCGAGCTCATGAGTTACCTCCCATGAGCGGTTCTCTGGCATGGCCATAACACTGGACACACAGAAACCAATCTCATAATTATCTGGCTCCTTAAAGAAATCCAAAATCGTGGCCGCGTGACATTATATGATTCTTATAACCAGCTATAGAAAACAAAGTATTTCACAATGCCTTTTCAGCAATTCTGATTGGGTGGAAATTTTAAACAATAATGGTTCATCTTTTGTTGAAATAATGAATGTAATCAATGTAGAGAAGAGTTAAGTAGAAATCATCTGCCTCACAGGCATTTGAAGGGTTGGGAGGGGGGATATACTGGGGTTCTTGGTGGTGAAAAATGAGTACTGGTGAAGGGAAAGGTGTTTGATCATTGTATGACTGAGACTTAAGCCTGAAAGCTTAGTAACTTTTCCCATAGTGATTCAATAAATAAATATAAAGAAAAAAATAAATAAAAAAGTAAGGTGGAGTTCATGCCCAATTCAATCAGCTAATCAGTGGCTGAATAAATAGCAGTACTTCTACAAAAAAAAAAAAAACATTGTGGTTGAATTTGAAATCTTTAAAAAAAAAGAAAAGAAAATTACGGCAATTGTGTGGTTATACTTATTTTGTGTCTTTTGAAGGATATTACAGATTTTGTGTGAAATTTGTTAGCACTTAACAGTTAAACTGTTTTTTTTTTTTTTTTTGCTTTTTGGGTCATACCTGGCAATGCACAGGGTTTACTCTTGGCTCTGCACTCAGAAATTACTCCTGGTGGTGCTTGGGGGACCATATAAGATGCTGGGAATTGAACCGAGTTGGTAGCATGCAAGGCAAATGCCCTACCTGGTGTGCTATCGCTCCAGCTCCTTGGTTAACCTGGGTTTAAAGAGGTTAAGTGTTTAGACAGTTAAAAGTCTAGACAATTACTTACAAGTAAATTCTTCTAAAAAAGACATGCAAAATGTCAAACTATATCAGTGTATTCAAAACAGGCCTAGAGGGGCCAGATAGAAAAGGGAGTACGGTCTTATGAAGGGTCTTGCTTTCTGCAGCCAATTCCATCCCTGGCCCCTTTTGGTTCCCAGAGCTTTGCAGAGAGGGACGAGAGCTCAGGAGCTTAACAGGACCCTCCACATTCCAGGTCTTAAATCAAGGTGAATACATAACAGTGCATCAGTAAATTATTACAACCTAATTAACTACCAAGTCACAAAACCTAAAGATAAACTTAGGGGTAAGCTTTAGTTTAAAAAAAAAGATAAGTACCAGGCGGATTACTCCATGGCTTTGAGGACAACTGCACACGCTAGGGGAAAAGGCAGCTCAGACAGAGAGGGGAGCACCAAATAACGAGTGTTGGGAGGTTTCTCTCAGGATGGGAAATGTGTGATGAGAGTAGACTATAGTCTGAACAAGACTGCCATTCAATATCTCTTTCGCAAACCACAGCACTCAAAAGGAGAGAGATAACAAAAGGCAATGCCCTGCCACAGTGGTACAGTGGGATGGGGTGGGGGTGGGAGGGACACTGGGACCGGTGGTGGTGGAGAATGGGCACTGGTGGAGGGATGGGTATTCGATCATTGTATAACTGAAACCCAAGCACAAACATTTGTAAGTCTACAACTGTACCTCATGGTGTTTCACTAATAAAAATTTAGGGAAAAAAACCCCACAACACAGGCCCTCCCCTACCCCCCCACCCCACCCTCCGCAAAAATCAAAAACACGTGATGGGGCTGGAGGGATAGTATAGCAGGTGAAGCAGTTAATTGCCTTGCATGTTACAGACCCCTTGGTATTCCATAAGGTCCTCCGAGTACTGCCAGGAGTAACCCCTGAGTATCGCTGGGTGAGGACCACCCCTACCCCCCAGCCAAAACATTCAAATATTGACTGCGAACCTGCTTGTGGGCAAAGCCAAGGAGAAAGGGAAGGAGCTCGCTGCAGTCTTTGACGTGATTTTAAAATATCCAGAACAGCGAGTTCTAAACTAAGGTTGCTGGTTCAGAAAGGTGGAAATGATGATACAAAGATGTTACTATGTAAAAGAGTCAAAGAGGGTACCTGAGACGGACCCACGGCGCTGGGACTCCAACCTGGACCTCCCGCGAGCAGAACAGGTGGAGCCCTTTGTCCTGCCCACGCTGCTTTGTTTGAAACACAAAAACGAGCCCGTGGTTTTATCACCTTAAGCAAGGATTAAAACCGAGGCTAGTTCATGAACTGCATCAATTAATATTTCAAGCAGTCAATATTGGAATCACTGAATCAGGATGCCAGACGACAGGGGAATCCTGTTAAAGGGGGAGGTGGCAGCAATCACTGCCTTCCCACACCGTGTCTCCACCCCGCTGCGTTCACTGTGGCTAAGAACAAGGACAAGCCCCAGGCACCGTGACAGCCCGGTATTAAGTGCCCGGAGGGGTGGCAAACAGGGTCTTCCAACGAGAGAGCACGTCGCCTTTCAAGGGAACCTCATCTCAAGAATGCGGGCACAGGGGCTGGAGCGATCGCTCGGCGGGGAGGGCGTTTGCCTTGCATGCGGCCTGACCCAGGTTCAATTCCCAGCATCCCATAGGGTCCCCCGAGCAGGGCCAGGAGTAATTCCTGAGTGCATGAACCAGGAGGAACTCCTGTGCATCGCGGGGTGTGACCCCCGAAAAAAGCAAACATAAATAAAGAATGCGGGCAGCTGGGCTGCGACGACAGCACCTCACCAACAGAGCAATTAACGAGAAAAACATTCAAGACTGCGAAGAGTGACTGCCGTATGCCGCACTTTATGACAGCCTCCTAGCGTTTTTTATTATTATTATCCTCGTTTAATGTATCAACAAAGTGAGACCCTCGAGGGATTTGTTTTTTTTGGGGGG